GCCTAAGTCTGAAGATGAATCCAAGGGTGAGAAGGACAATGAAGAAGAGAAGAAAGAAAATGGCGGGTTGAAGGCTGATGATAACAATTCTGAAGAGGAGGAGAAAACTGAAAGCAAGTCTGGTGGAGAAGGAGAGAATGGAGAAGGCTCGGATGAAAATAAATCTGACACAGGGGATGCTGAGACAAAAGAAGGCGATAAAGAAGACGGTCACATAGAGGAGAAGGAGGACAAAAAAGATGAGAAAAAGGAGTCTTCAAATGAAGTGTTTCCTTCAGGGGCTCAGTCTGAGCTTTTGAATGAAACTACTACTCAGAATGGGGCATTTCCGACTCAGGCAACTGAATCGAAGAATGAAAAGGAAGCTCAAAAGTCTTCTGACTCAGATACAGAAAAAGGGTACAGTTGGAAGCTCTGCAATGTCACTGCTGGTCCTGATTACATCCCTTGCCTTGATAATCTGGATGCAATTAGGCACCTCAGAAGCACCAAGCATTATGAGCACAGGGAGAGACACTGTCCTGATGATCCTCCAACTTGCCTTGTTCCACTTCCTGAAGGATATCAACGCTCAATTGAATGGCCTACAAGTCGGGAAAAGGTAATGCAATGACTTTCCTAAAACATATTTCCAATTTTCTCTTAGTATTTATTGCTTATCTAGAATGTTTGAATATTTTCTTGATGCAGATCTGGTACCATAATGTTCCACACACCAAGCTTGCAGAGGTTAAGGGACATCAAAACTGGGTTAAAGTTAGTGGTGAATACCTTACCTTCCCTGGTGGTGGGACCCAGTTTAAGCATGGTGCTCTTCACTATATTGATTTTATACAGCAGGTTAGCATCTAGAAATCATTCATTACTCTAGAATTAAATCATACTAATTTTCGGTTAATATCTTATGTGATTTATCTGAAGAGGCAAATATAAGGGAAGGGTAAATGGTCATTTACATTGGAAACACCAAAATAATTTTATTTCATGAGTGGTATGGTTTAAAGGTGTAGTAAAATCAAATTTAATTTGATTCTTGGAGAATGAAATGGATTGCGAAGGGAATGTTTCTCCGAAGCTAGACTCTGAATCTCAGTGAAGAAACATTTTTGCTGTTGCCAAAAGATATATAGTTAAAATTTTAATTGCCAGATGTGTCCTTTCAAAAGTTTAATCCTTACCTGAATGTTTGCATTGTTTCTGCAGTCTCTACCTGATATTGCCTGGGGAAAACGTACACGTGTTATATTAGATGTTGGCTGTGGGGTTGCAAGTTTCGGAGGCTATCTTTTTGAAAGAAATGTATTGGCTATGTCATTTGCTCCCAAAGATGAACATGAAGCCCAGGTTCAGTTTGCACTTGAAAGGGGTATTCCTGCTATATCTGCTGTCATGGGTACAAAGAGACTTCCTTACCCTGGTAGAGTTTTTGATGTTGTCCACTGTGCAAGGTGTAGGGTGCCCTGGCATATTGAAGGTATTTGAGTTTATTCTATTTATTCCACTTTACGTTTGAACTTGTACACATATTCTGTCAACATGTATTCTTCACCATTAATCTCTTATTCCATTTCCTAGAAACAGTTGACAATTTGTTGCTACGTTCTAGGTGGTAAGCTTCTCCTTGAGCTGAATCGTCTTCTCCGACCTGGTGGTTTCTTTGTATGGTCTGCCACTCCTGTCTACCAGAAGCTTCAGGAAGATGTTGAAATTTGGGAAGGTAGCTGACAACCTGTTTACTAGTGATCCTATGTTACATTGTCAAATTAAAAATAACTAAACGTATACGATTTTGGGAATTATTGGCAGCAATGAAGAAGTTAACCAAGTCAATGTGCTGGGAATTGGTTCAAGTTAACAAGGATAGAGTGAATGGAGTAGGTGTTGCCTTTTTCCGCAAACCTACTACCAATGAGTGCTATGAGCAAAGATCAAAAGATGATCCTCCACTCTGCCAAGAGTCTGATGATCCTAATGCAGCCTGGTACTATATTTTTAGTGAGATTTGGATTATTCTTTTATTTTTTATTTTGGAAAAGTGTCCAAAGTGTTATGGCTAGTTGGCTACCATCACAATGATGTTATATCTATGATTTGTTCAGGAATGTGCCTTTGCAAGCTTGCATGCACAAAGTTCCAACTTCTGAATCAGAGAGGGGTTCTCAATGGCCAGAATCATGGCCTGCTAGGCTGGAGAAATCACCTTATTGGTTACTAAGTACCGAGACAGGTGTGTATGGGAAGCCAGCTCCTGAAGATTTTGCTGCAGATTATAAACATTGGTCACGAGTTGTGACCAAGTCATATTTGAACGGAATGGGAATTAACTGGTCTACTGTGCGGAATGTCATGGACATGAATGCTGTCTATGGAGGGTAAGCACAGACAATTTCAACTGCTACATTTTATGTTACTTGTTTGGTGCGAATTTCTTAGCAGTATATTATATCCAGTAAATATTATTTTCTTCACTAAAAGATCTCTTAGTTGAGTCTCCCTCCCTCAAACACCTTTTTTTTTTTTTAATATTAAATTTAATTGCTGCCTTGCAGATTTGCAGCTGCACTGAAAGATTTGAAAGTGTGGGTTATGAACATTGTTGCAATTGATTCTCCCGATACACTTCCTATAATATATGAGAGAGGTCTTTTTGGAATGTACCATGACTGGTGTGAATCATTCAGCACTTACCCTAGATCTTATGATCTTCTCCATGCGGATCACCTCTTCTCCAAGATCAAAAGAAAGTACGTATCTTATACACTTTTTCCTTGCTAGATGGAGTCTTTACATTGCTATAGGTGCCCTGCTGTCTCTGAGCTGTGATCTAATATTTTTACATCTTCAAAACTTGCAGGTGCAACTTAATGGGGTTGGTTGTGGAGGTGGATCGGATTCTGAGACCCGAAGGGAAGCTCATAGTCCGTGACCACACGGAGACTTTAACTGAACTGGAAAACATATTGAAGTCTATGCATTATGACATCCGAATGACATATTCTAATGGCGATGAAGGTTTGCTTTGCGTACAGAAGACAATGTGGCGCCCCAAGGAGGTCCAGACACTCGCCTATGCTATTGCCTAATGCTAGATTCATCCATTCAGGACGCATTTGATGCCCCCTAAGAGTAGGTATTCTTTTATATCATTTGATAAATGTATCATTTGTTAGCGACCTTAGAGTGCTTTTGATTGATCGGGTTTAGGTTGCTTAAGCGGAGCTGTCACGGTTTTGTTTTCTGTCTGTATCATTATATATCACCGACTGATGAGGGGTAGTCAACAAATTATTCACCTGTAAAAAGAGCCATTGGATTAGAATACAATGGTGAACTTCATTACAATCAAATTCATCTTCCTTGCACTACTTCAACACCTCATTGTTTGTTGTCATTTTAGTTGAGCGAGTGCGAAATGCAATGCGAAGGTGACTAAAGAATAAAACACGAAATAGTAGTGGACTGACGATTTTGCCATCATTCAATGTTTTTTTTTTTCTTTTTTTTTTTTCGAGTGATTAGAAACTTGCTGCTTGCCGCCACCATTGAGACTCAAACTCACAACCTTCCAATTAGAAGTTCAATCCGGGTACCACTAGACTACATAGTCTTGGTGAAACTTGCAATCATTACTTTAACATTAATTCATGTGTTTTTTTTTTTTTTTTTTTTTTTTTTTTTTTTAAGAGCCGGTGTGGCATTTTACTCAAAATAAGCTGAAATAGTGTCAGGTGGGACAGAGTCCCAGTACATAGAAGTAGCATAATTCGAAGCGACTTGCTAAGGTATGAGCTAAATAATTATCTGATCTAGAAATAAAATTAATACGACAGTAATTAAACGTAGATATATAAGTCATGCAGCTATCAATAGCATAGCCACTATACGAACGCACTGAGATAGCTGTCGATGTTAAGTACTGCTGTAGCGTTAAACAATCCGTGAACACCTCTATAGACTGTTCGACACGGTCTCGTAGCCATGACAGAACCTCCCTGCACGCTACGGCTTTGGCCATGAGTGGTGAGAAACACTCGGGCAGCATAGCAACGAAGGCCGAGATATAAGTGCATTCTCCATTGAGTATTACCGCCCCGACAGTTGCCTTGTTCGTTGCATGATGATAGCTTGCGTCGAAGTGGCACACAACTCGTTGATTCTCCTGCGTCGGCGGCAGTATTATAGCGTGATCTGCACGGTGAGTTAGGGTCGAAGTGGCACACAATTCATGTGTTTAGTTAAAATTGAAATATATAATATAATTATGTGTGGTTTAAGGTTATCTTTTATATATATATATATATATATATATATATATATATATATATATATATATATATATAAGATTATCTTACATAACCTAAGAAAAGGGAAAGGAATCTCATTCCTTTCAAAATCTTATGTAGAGGGAATGTTCCATTTCTTGAGAATGTTATATTCCCTAAGATAATATGAACCAAACATAATAATGTAACTTTTGGAATGTTGCATTCCCTTGGGTATGTTATAATGTTATATAACCTGAACCAAATGTCCCCTTAGGACAATCGTTATATCGTGCACCAGGGCGGCAGGGCGCACAATGCATTGTGCGCCCCATCCTGCCCAACAACGTCGTTTTGTTAAGTTGTGTGGGGAGTTGAAGCGACAGAGTTTATGTGTATTTTGTTATACAATTATGTACATTCTATTATATAATGATGTACATTCGAAATAATGGTTTTTTTTTTAAGAGTTAAGAGTTTATGTGTATTATGTATTATGTTAGATTATGCGTATTATCTTTTCAAAAAAGTTTATGTGTATTTTGTTATACAATTATGTACATTTGAAACATGTGATTTTTTAAAAAAAAAAAGTTAACAGCAGACACAGGAAACGAAATTTTCACCAAAAAAAAAAACATAAAAACAAAAAAACAAAACAAACAACGTCGTTTTGGACCACGGTATAATTTGTGCACTTGTTCTATTTTCATACTATGTGTTAATGTTCTCATTTGGAGGTCTAATTGAGTCCAATTCTTGGTGTTTGTGATTTTTGCATTACATTTTATTTTATTTGTAAACTAGATACACCGTATTAAGTGTGGAAATAGGAGTGACATAATTATGTAATGATGGTTACATAATAACATATAGAGAGCGAGTCCCAGGGGGCAGGGTCTGAAATGGGAATTCTTCCAATTGCCTTTGGTATTCCCACTTCCATGCCTCCTTTTAAGCCTCTCGTGCCATTTGCAACTTCTCCCATTTAAAAGCCACAACCACACCTCCTTAAGCTTAGCTACACACACGCCCATCCCATGATGACGACCACCACGGCGGAAAACGACGAACGGAAAACCGGAAACATCCCCAACTTGGCCGTCGTCCGAGCAAGCCCCGAATCCAAACCCACAAACTCTGCAAACAACAATAACAATAGCAAAGAACAAGACAGATTCCTGCCGATCGCCAACGTGGGAAGGATCATGAAAAAGGTGATCCCCGGCAACGGCAAGATCTCCAAGGAAGCCAAGGAGACCGTCCAGGAATGCGTGTCGGAGTTCATCAGCTTCGTCACCGGAGAAGCCTCCGACAAGTGCCAGCGCGAGAAGCGGAAGACGATTAACGGCGACGATATCCTCTGGGCCATCACCACCCTCGGCTTCGAGGACTACGTCAATCCCCTCAAACTCTACCTCAACAAGTACAGGGAGCTTGAAGGAGAGAAGCTTAACCTTCCAAAACAGCCACCACCACCGCAGCAGCAGCTGCAGCAGCAACACCACGTCCACGACCAGTTGTTGCCGCCCACCGCCGCCGCCAACTTGGCTTACAACGCCACCGCTACTAATGTATATTCTCCTTCTCCGGCGACTCTCCTCTCTCACCATCATCAACCTTCCTACATGTCTCCCTCAGATCATCATCACCATCTTCTTCACCAACAGTTCCCTAATTTGCCTTTCTCACCACAGAACTCTGTTCAATCTCAGTTAACTCCACAGGAACATATTGATTCAGTGGGGCATTGGTAATGATAAACATTACTGCTCTAATTTTTGGTGTATTTTTCCTTTCCCCAATATATTTTTTTTTATTGTTTTTCTTTTCACATATAATGTAAGTATATAGTGAGATCATTTTTTGAAGCCACTATGTAATATAAATGCATCAGTAGAGAAGTTTCAGAAAAAACGTTAATTCCAAATTAGGCTTCACAAATCACAATACTCCATGCGAAAGAAACCACCTTGAGCTTTCAAAGAAAATCCACAGGTAGGTACGGCTAAAACTGTTAGAAAAGATCTGCAATATTGCGGATTATTCGTGCATAAGATAGAGCAATAATAGGAACGGAATATAATGCCCTAGCTGCATGATTCGAATGAAAAATCAGCAAAACAATTTGGAACGGCGAACTGGAAATCATTATACTTACCAGCAGAGAATTTGAATGTTCCAGAGGATGATTCTGCGACTGAGCTTTGGTGCTTGAAGCTGAAGAAACAAGAGTGGCTCTGAATCTCCATGGGAGGGAGGGAGGGAAAACTCAAGACATTTCAAATCGATAGCAGTTGGCGCCTATACCGACCCGAATTGTGCATCCGACCCGACATATTAATAGTACGGAGTAGAATGTTCATTGGGCCTCCGGAGTGGTTTAATAATGCTCGTTAGTGTTCGTTTAGTGTTCATGATTGTTCACGAACAAATTAATTTAAATACAATTTATTTTGTTTTATTTTATTTAGTTTTAATATACCAAGTATATTACTTATTACTTTAGTTTAGGCGTTAAGCCTATACTTAAAAAAAAAAAAAGAATTACTTTTATTTTTTTTTAAAGTTGCAGTAGGCGCTAGGCAAAGAGGAGAAATTCTCAAAATGTGTCGTATTTTTTTTTTTTTTGACAACAATATGCAAAACTCCTTTCGGAGTTGCATTTTTGTAGTATTTCGCATTTTTTTTTGTATTTCTGTAAAACGCAAGAGGCAGTTGCGTTTTACGAATACGATACGTAAAACGCAAGTGCCTCTTGCGTTTTACAGCTCATACTGTATCCCGTAAAACGCAACTTCCGTTTGCGTTTTACGTATTATACGTAAAACGCAAAACGAAGTTTAGAATATTGGCCAACCGAAACTGGAATCGAAAGCTTTCGGTCGGCGAAGAAGTACTGGCGGAATCTACGAGGTACGCGAGCAGCAGCTTAAGGATCCTGAGGCGCGCGAATATGATATCGGAGACGTTGAATCCGACGATAAAGTCAACGTTGGCATCTTTTCTGGCGGGCTGGAATAGCGCCTTAACTGTGTTTGTATTTGGTGCGCAATATTTTTATTTGGTGGTGCTGTTTTGCATTCTGCTGCGTTTGTGGTGACACTGTCTGTAAATACGTAAAACGCAACTCTCAATTGCGTTTAAACGTATTCAATACGTATTCTGAAAACGCAACTGGGAGATGCGTTTTACGTATTCAATATGAAAAACGTAACTACCAGTTGCGTTTTCAATATTTAAAGAAAAAAAAAATACGGAAACTATACACTCAAAAACGCAACTCGCAATAGAGTTTTGCATATTTCTGTAATAAAAAAAAGTCAGCACACATTTTGGGAATTTCGAAGGCCTTTCTACACATTCTAGTCTTTTTTCCTAATCGGGCGTCCGGGCAGCGCCTAGCGCCTAGGCGGGCACCAAAAAAATTAAAAAAAGTAGTGACAGACTTGTAGTTTGACAATTTTAATGTGCTTGCTCTCAACATTCAATCAAATAACATGTCCAAATAAATGAAATAATGATAATTTATAAGTCATAACATCATAATAATATTAAAATTAATAATTAATGAAAGACGAAATCGGTCAAACTCGGACGAAATCGGCTGACTCAGCCGAGTTGGCCGATTTTGGCCGACTTTGGCTGAGTAGGTCGCCTAGGCGGCTGGCCGAGTTTTGCCCAACTATAGGCCAAAACAGCAAGGATGGGTGCCGCCTAGCGCCTAGGCGGCCGAGTTTTGCAACCTTATTTTTTTTACGATCCTACTCTAACCAGAGTAAACTCATTTGATAATTCTCACCACAAGTGCTAATTATGTACAGTGAGTAAACTCATTTGATAATTCTCACCACACGTGCTAATTATGTACAGTTTGTGTTCCATCCGTAAGGAGCACCTTCCAGGAGTCGTAGACTCTGTCCGAGAGGAGCTTCGAAAGGAAAATATAATAAAATTATTCATTGTGCACGAACAAATTATAATCATGAACATGAACATATGTTTGTTTATTTAACGTTCATGAACGTTTTCACAAACGTTAACGAACACTAATAAACGCTTAACAAACGAACATGATATTCCAAAAATCTTAACAAACGAACACGAACAATTTCTATTTGCTCATGAATTGCAATTCAACAAAATAAGAGAATTACAATCCCGTCCAACAAAATAATATACTTTTCTTGAATTACAACCAACCAAACACCCCCATAAGATTTGGAATCTGATTCGGTGATTCCCCTGCCAGCATAATAACGAGGCATTCCTACATACCTCTGTTTCAAATTTAAAGAATGGTAGACTAATAAAATAAATAAATATATTTTTTCCTCACAGTTCCCTTCAAAACAACAAAGAAAATCCGAATAAAGTTAAACAGGGCAACGCCACAGGACAGGATGCTACAAGTACAAACATACAGTTCAAACTTTGAGAGCCTGTGTCTAAATGTCTCATAATATAAAGAAGATAAGCTGCAGCTTACAAAGTAAGCATAAAAAATTCCTATAAATACTTCATCATAAGGATGAGATGAAGGTGTTGGGACTTTTAGGAAAAACAAAATTTGTGAGTGAGGTGAGCAGCGGTCATGCTGCAGTCATACAGTCTTCCCAGGTACCATACTTTGAGCTGAAACTTCCCCCACCCCTTTTCTGGGCATACTCCAAAATAACTGCTCGAGCACAGGAATCCCAAGTTCTCGCAATGTCCCTCAGTGACATCGGCTCGGATAGACTTCGGAGGGAGGCGGAAAACTTTGACCTGGCCTTCGTTGATAGATCCTCGTACTCTTTACTGTGTGACAGATGATTAAAAATTATAATCAGTGGAAGGTGAACATAACGCTTGAAAATGCAGGCACATCACACATCAAAATCTCGAGAGTTTTAAAAACCATAAGTTTTCTAGTGTAAGAAGCGATTAGCAGAAATTTTATTTTCTCCCTCTGGTTTTCTTCTTTTATCATGTATAACATCACCATGTTATTCGTCTTTGAATTTGTTTTCATGTGAAAGAGCCCCCCACTCCCTACTTTCTGTTTATCATGATATAATTGAAACAGCCCTTGTAAAGAATATCACAAAGTTTAATACTACCAAAAGGGCAAAAGGGCAAAAGGGAGAATCACATATTTACACTGCACAAGACAGCACGGCTTGGCTTAGAGCCATCTAAACATACATGAATATTGAGTATTATGGAGCACATGAAATACTACATACAAGCACACATACATAGATAAGGAAACAAATTATTATAGACAGCGATGATAACTACTGACCTGACTTCAACTGGAAACTTATCCATGATAATTGGAGAGCAATTTGGATAATTTGCAGGAACAAGCAATCTTAAAGGCTGAATTGGTGACTGCCCAATAAAATAGAAAACCATAAAAAAGAAAAAACATATCAGAAGAAACTAATAAGAGTTGATTGAAGATTGCAACCTGATCTGTGGGGGCAGGCAAACTTACCATTTGAGCTGAAGCATACTGTTTTTTTAAATTTGGACTGAGAGACACAGCCCTAAAAGAACACTTAACAGTGGTACCTCCACTTCCGTCAGTTGTAGCAGCTAGAACACTTGCATCAACACCTTCATCGCTGATTTCTAACACAGTATCAATCAGTCGTCGATTGATTTCCCTTATCTCTTCAATGAGTGCATGGTTAACCTACAAAGGGAAAGAAACCATTTTTATTAGGTAAGTAACTTAAAGGCAACATTTAGGCACATGTTATTATCAAAGAGAAAAATGAGCAAATTGAGGTTATAATGGTTGGAAAATGAAGAGATGCCAGATTCCATAGTTATCACACATTGTTAATGCAAGAGTCATTAGGTTAGTTGAAGAGCCAAGCTTCATATGTAACACAAACTCTCATAACATCATAGCCTATAAATAGTTAAATACATTGGCTCTTTTAGTGTTTTCTATACAAGTGGGACATATTGCATATGTTCCAACTTGAGCAGGAGTGCTAGAAATTGAAGAGTTGTCAGATTTCCTTAGTATCATATTTTGTGTATTCAAGAGTTATTTAGTTAGTTAAAGAGCCAATCCCTTTAAGTAACACGTCGTAATGTGTGGAGACTCTCATAGCCTATAAATATACTAGCTCTTTTCTAACTATTTCATCATGCAATCTATCTAGTTTCATATCTTCTCTGTCTCTCCTATCATCAGATTTCCACCTTGTCTGTGGGTGGTGGCTCCTTGCCACCCACCAGACTTCAAATTCAATATTTTTCAATAATAACCAAATAGAAACTGAGAAGCAATAAGGTAGTGCCTGGCAGGAAATTTACATGGAAACTACAACACTTGCACAAGAACAAAATTCAGGCATACAACATCAAAGAGAAAAATATGTACACATTAAGATTATAACCAAATGATAACTGAGAAGCAATTAGTAGTGCCTCATACAACTTGCACAAACATCCTAACAGCAAGAATTAATTATCCATTAAAATACAGCAGAAAAGCTAAAGAAAAAATCATGCACAAAGTATGATCATGTTGATTGCCTTTGCCAAACAATTTCATCCAAAGTGTAAGGCGGTCCAAAAAACAGAGTGCTTTACACTGTTGACTAGTTCAATTCCCATTTGATCAAGAAAACCATCATACCAGCAGTAAACAGAAAAAGAACTGAAAGAGATAGTAAGCACCAGTAGACAGTAGTCCAGTAGATTGCAAAGATGCAGTTTAAGTAATATACAGTATGAATTCAAATAAGAGGCGGAATTTCACAATAATATTAGGATAGCCTAACCATCTTTATGAGGAGAAAGTATGAAGACTGATGGTGGAAACAGAAGTATTAGCAGACCATAACAAAGAAAATGGGAACAACTGGAAAAGCTCAAGGCTGTCAAAGAAAGAACCTCCAGTGGAATCTTGAAAAGAAGACCAAGGATATTAGATTGAAAAGCACCATCAGCAACCAAATGGAAAGGTAAGAAAAAGAGGGGTTGGGAATTTTCAACAGAGCGTTCAGGGATAAGTGATCATGCTTCAAATAGGAGTAATGTGAAGATTGAAGAAACCTCCTCGATGGCATTTCTTTAAGAAAGGGAAAGCACTCTAGTCTCTTTGACACTTCTTTACTTTCAAAACCTTTCCTAGTTAGTATGGGATTAGCCAAATTTTGCAATACTCCATACATGTATCGAGTATATCCCCTCCATATACAACAATTTTCGTTTCTTTGTTCTATTAAAAGAAAATTATCACCCATGAATACCTAATTTAAGGTAGAAAAGTATATACCAATGAGCAAGATAAATGATCTACTTTTATAAGTGAAAGAGAACGCTAGACAGACAGTATACCTTAATCTTGCGTCTTTTTATGCTGGATGTTGCTGTTGACTCCAAATCAGATGCTTCAGAGCCATTCCATGGTACAAAACTATCATTTACACTTCCACTAGATGACACTACATTTGAGGTTGTATAGCATTTCATTCTCTTTGTTCCAGTAGGTCCATCCTGTGTCAAGAAACTTCTTGCCTGCATACGGCATTTTGTCATGGCAACCAAATCTTCACCAACAGCTGCTCTTGAGCCATTTCCAGGTGCAGACCCAGCTATTCTATCCATCATACTGACAACAGAGCTGATATCACTAACAGAGGAACTCAATGCTTTAGCTGACATTCTTCTTACCTGAATAAAATAAATAGGTTAAAGCAAGATTTAACAACAAACACCCCAGGATAAAAAGTGGAACTATACTAACCGCATTAACCAAGCGTTCCAGAGGTTGTTCAACACTTGACTTCCCAGAAATGGTGGTTGGTACATTTGCATGTGTGCCATCTAGACTGTTAATTTCTGGAAGCAACGGTGATGCTGATATCCCGGGAGTATCAATTGCTAGAGATTGAGCTGATGCAGATGCAGCATTTGTATGCTGATGCCCTACATTCCCAGCACCAAGAAGTGATGGAATGCCCATGCTAACTTTTTCTGACTCCCCTGGCAAGGGAGTTGAAGGAGATGGGGCAAAAGGTGAATTTGCAGATGGGAGAGGTGTTCCTGTTCTTGTAAGAGATGCCAACATATTTTGCTGGTCAATTTGTGGTGAAGGATGCTGGGCAAGCTGAGGAGAAAGTGTCTGATGAACTTGAGGTGAGGTGATACTTGACTTGAGCTGTTGGTGATGTGATACAACACGCTGGCCAAGTGACTGAGGCTGCTGGAGCACACCTGGTGGTTTAATACCTATCTGCTGCCTCATCTTTATATCATTTGTATCAACCATTTGGTGAAGCTGTGACATTGACTGTGCTGCCAGAGGAGCCTGTGGTTGCTTTATTTGCTGCTGTTGTTGCATTAGCTGTTGCTTTTGCAAAATTTGCTGCTGCATCTGCCGCTGCTGTATCTGTTGTCTCAGTTGTGGGTTCTGCAACATTTGCTGTTCATGTTGCTTAGGATGCTGGTGCTGAAGCATATTAGAATTTGGCTGAAGCATATTAGGATTTGGCTGAAGGTTAGTCTGCAGTGAATTTGCTCCACCTTGTGATGAAAATGAGTTTATGTTCATCTGCTGGGAACCAGGATTTTGTTGTAAAGCACCAGTAGACACCTGCTGCAGTGAATTTAATGAACTACCCTGCCCAATATCCAAACTAGCACCAGGCTGTATTGTCGATAACATGTTTTGCTGAGAGTTTGAGACTGCAGATACAGAAGACAGAGAATTATGCTGCATGTTGGTCAAATTATTCTGTTGCATTGCTGCCATAGTGCCTTGCACATTTACAGATTGCATCTGAAGATTAATTTGGCCATCATGATTTTGTGGAGGCTGAGGAGGTTGCCCTTGCTGCATCGATGAAGTAGGTTTCCGGGTCCTGTTGGAATTAAGAAAATAAACTATCTGCTTCTCAATATAAGCCATTTTTTCCTTGTGCTGTGGTTGAATTTCATTTTTATTAAGCCTCAACATGTGAAGAAGGCGTTCTACCATAACCTTAAACATCTTGAGCTTTTCAATTTGTTCATTTTTGGGTTGCTGAGGAACAGAATCATGCTGCAAAAGAAACAAATTCTGTTATGAGAAAATGACACGGGAAATTCATTCATATAATGTAAAAATGAGTAATAATTTCCTCCATCTAAGTCTGTGACTCATTCCTTTTTCTTTCTTCTCTAAAATTGTTTTGTCAGAATCTAAAAGAGTCAAAGTGCAGGAGGAAATTCCAGAATACACTAAATTTAAAGACTAGTTGGCACAATGTTGTTGATTTTAAATCTTCCCCAAAGTGTGGTAAACAAATTTATGAATCCAAAACAAATAAATTTTAAGAACTGCTAACCAAATGTGGTTGACTTCAATTGAGCTCCAAATTGCGGTACACATATTTATGAATCCGGAGCATGTTATTCAATGTCGTAAAAGTTGCTAGGCACCACCGATGGGCGCCTAGCACCTAGGCCGCCTAGATGGGCGCCTAGCACCTAGGCCGCCTAGGTGCACAACTAAAAAAAACTTGATAAGTATTTCTCCCATAAAATATAAATGTTCAATAGCACATAATACTCTAGACATAACAGATACAAACGAAACAAACAAAATGAAAACAAAAAAAAAAAAAAAAAAAAAGAATAACAATGGACGCCTAGTCAACTGACTGCATAGAAGGGCGATTTTCCCATTCATCCTTCTGCCTAAGGGCACACACACCTAGGCATTCTGATGTTAACTTTAAAAATTGTAACAATAACTTCCCAAAACTTTGTGAATGCATTTACTCATGAGACCAAGCTTCTGGCTATTAAAAGCTACCAATGTCTCATTTAGGAAATGAGACTATTTCACATTTCAGAAGCGTGACTTGTGTTAAAGAGGGCAGCAAAAATAAATGGTGGGGAAGTGAAGGCAAAGACAGCAATCTTCTAGGCATACCTCTATTCTCACCTTTATATGGTTTCTGTTCCGTTTCCTATCCTCCTCTCCCCTAAATCTCCTCTTTTGTTCCTATTGACAGATATCTTGTAGATCCTTGTGTGCAATTAGAAAGCAAGAGGATTCGATTATTCGGTGTTTAGGAATGGGGTAAATAAGAGAACCTGGGAAGATTTTATGAGAGGAATGAACGAAAGTTGCCTGTGAGGAGACCTCTGGTCCAGAGTTAAGTTCTCGGAGAGCTAAATGAAGCAAAGGGTACTTTCACAGATGCTGCGCGTTCTTGTTAAATAGGGCACGAAAACACATTTCGTAAAAGCGGCGTGCTTCTTAAATGGCACACTAGGTCTCATATTCTAGAAAGTGGAGATTGTTTTGAGCTGTTTAGGATTTTTTTTCAATTAATATTTTGACCCTGTTTAGTAAATGGAGAACTTTCCAATTTTCTGGACCTATTTTCCAAAGTAGAGAACGGAAATTATAGAATTCTCCAGTCCTAAATGACAGTATGACACACTAGGTCTCATATTCTAGACGGAAATGTTTTGAGCTGTTTGGAAATTTTTTTTACAATTAATATTTTGAGGACCTGTTTAGTAAATGGAGAATTTTACAATTTTCTGGACGTATTTTCCAAAATAGAGAACGGAAAATTAGAGAATTCTCCAAGTTTCCAAAATAACTAAAGAATTTGGGAAACACATTTAAATTTATTTTCAAATTTTCTGCGTTAACTTCATTTAGAATCACCTATTATCATTACTTATGAACTCCTAATTCATCTATTTATGCACCTTACCTTCACCTACCTACTCACCGACATATCTACCCACCACCACAGCCGCCACTACCTCCCTTATAATCACTGCTTCCTTCCACCCACTCACCAATACAATTGCAAGTGATCAACCGGTTAGATTCAAAATTGACAACCAACATATGGGCTTAATAAGGCCATAAGTTAAACTAGCTAATTGGTTAGATTCAATATTTTAGTGTGATTTGGACCATGAGCATTATAGCCCAATTAAGTGACCTCGGCCAAATCTTAGATTCTAACACAAACATATTTGAAACAATTAGAATATCTTATCTAAAAAATATCACTTGAAATTTTGAATATCTAAATTATCACCCGACCCCACTAGATGCCCACACATGACCGCACCCACACTATTGTCACTAATATTTATATTTCAATACAATGAAATCAAGTAAATTTCAAAAAAAAAAAAAAATTGTATATATAAATTGGAAAATAGTTGAATTTAAACATTGTTAAGAGTCTCACATTGAAAATATAAGAGAGAACATATGGGTTTATAAGGTCATAGATTAAACTAGCTAATTGATTGGATTCAATCCTATAGTGTGGTTTGGCCCATGTGCACTATAGCCCAATTGAGTGACCTTGGCCCAATCTTAGATTATTACAAACATGTTTTCTAGTTTTCCAATTGGAAAACGAAGAATTTGGAGAACTAGAGATATATAAAATGAAAAAAGGTTTTTGTACTAAATAGACCCTGAATTTTTCAATACATTTCATTTATAGATTTGTTTTTTAATAAGATGATAAAATTCAAGGAGCTGCTTACTGAACATTACAACTTAGGTTTTAATTGTGACGAGAAGATAGATATTCTTCCATTCTGAAAGTTACTTATGTTAACATTCACCAAATTCCTTGAGCTGCTCATTTAATGTTTGCATATTACTCAAACCTTTCTTCACACGGTCATTGTGCGTGTGTTTGCCTATTTATGCTTTTATAAGGAAACAGAACTCCAGGTTTCTACATGAAGTAGTTCAATCTCACAACTGAGACTATCTTCCATCTCCAGAAGTAGAAGAAGATTTCCAAGTGCAGTTTTTTCACCGACTATTTCTGTCATGTGCATAGGATTTCACCTAAGGGTGCATTTGGAAACTCGGAAAATGACTTCTGGAAAATGAGTCATTTTCCATAAAACATTTCCCTTTCCGGTGTTTGGCTACACAACGGAAAACTGTCTTTGTTTGTTTGGTTCATTTTCTAGAAAATGTGCACGAAAATGTAAAGAATTGAATACTTCAAAATTTTAATTATTTGATACTTTTGATAAAATCATTCTATGAATAGCACTCTTTTGATATATATATATATATATATATATATATATATATATATATATATATATATATATATATATATATATATATATATATAAACTACACGGTTGTAATTAAAAATGTAAATTTTTAAAAAAAATTTAAATTAAAAAAAAAATAATATTATTTATAGACTTTACTTGTTTTTTAAAATTTTGAATTCAAAAAAAAAAAAAAAAAGTTCGCGGACCGGGCCACGGGGCCCGCCAACTTGCATGGGGCGGGCTATGGTTGCATGAACCCTAGTCCATGGGCTTGGTGGGCCGACATGCAAAAGCCCGTAAAAAATTAAGCCCGAAAATTTTTGCATGTGCATCTCTTGGAAAATGACTTCCCAAAAAAAAAAAAAAGGAAGTCATTTTCTCCGAAAACATACCTATTTTCCTTTGACTAATGCATCATTTTCCATTGACCTCATTTTCCCCCCTATTACCAAACATTGGAAACTCGGAAAACACTTTCCGGGTTTCCAAATGCACCCTAAAATGGCCAAAGCTAAAGAAATTGAGGTAAACCAGAACGAGTTTCCTTAACTCCAGTCTTTTTTTCTCACTTTTAGGGATAAGTTATGTACAGAAGCTAAAACCAAATGATCCAGTTTTTGAAATTTTGCTCAAATAAATTACCGTGAATGAATATCATGCAAAAACTTGTTCAGAACTTAATAGTGGCACAACCTATATAGAAATGTCTAAAATAGGTTTAGAAGTCAGAACAGATGCAAAGAATAGATTCATTTATCCTGCATCTCACCTGAGCCAATTTGCCAGCAATCTTCTGGAACAATTCATTTAGATCCATATAATATGTCTCTTTCATGGCCTTGATCTGCAAAAAATCTTATTGCTTAAGTTACTTGGTTTATAAGTCCACAAACACAAAAAGAGATAGTTCATGTAATACTAAATTACAACTAGACCAACTTAGGGACCCAAAATGAGGTAAAGAAGTAAAACAAAAGAAGAAATTAAAATGCAAAGAACAAAAAATAAAAATGCCACAGAAACATGCAAAGGCTAAAATATTGAAGGTGCCAACCCAAAATGAGTTTACTAAAACAAGGGAGTATTCATCAGTTAACTTGTATGCATTCCAATTTAAATTGTGAAAAAGAAAAGCAAACAACTTTATCCAAAATCTAAAATCATCAGCCGAGCAAGAGAAAACTAGAGGAAAATACATTTGATAGAAAAGCATTAAGTGTACTAAAGACAATAGGTAATCTCAGAGTTTATTCCGCTTTTGGTCCTCAACTATAATGCCATTCTCAATTTGGGTCCTTGAATTTGATTTTTAGTTCTTTTGACTTCAAAAAAACATTCCACTTTTAATCCAAAATTTGCCATCATTCTGTGAAAACTTTACCCTGCTGTATTAAGGGCATTTTGGACTAAAAGTGGAACAAATTAAAGTTGAGGACCAAAAGAGGAAATGAAACTATAGTCAGAGGACCAAAAGTAGAATAAACTCAATAATCTCATCTAAATCACTAAATGTGACAACCACCTCAAGGGATAAGATAATCTCAACTCCAAAATTATAATATCTTATCCCAAGATGCCAAGATGAGATACTAAGATCATTTTAGTTACCTCTGAACCATATGAGAATGACACATGACATACAACAACCATTAGATTTTATTATTAGCATAGTTTAGTTTCTGAACCCATCGCATGTTAACATTTTATCCAAATTTCATACTTAAACTTCATGAATAGTCCTTGATTTAGATAAACTTGACTGCATTGCTGCAGATGACCCAATCAATACAAACAAAAAAGTGAAATGCAGCACCTAAAAAAACACCTCAGAATTCACTTTTCAAGTGGTTCTTATTTATATCTTTCACTTAACCAGACAATTTGGCAAAATCTACTTTTTTCTGTTGAAAGAAAGAAATCATTTTTAAGTTTGAGATCCATAAAGTCTTATGTTAAGTTAAACTGATGCAGTACCTTTTGGTAAGCGTCTTCCTGCCAATCAGCGACATTTGCGTTTCCAGTTTGAGCTGTTGAATCTAAAGATGCTACATTAAAATTTTCAAATGTAGATATGAATTAACAAGCTTTTACCAGCTATAGACAAAAATTTAATGAACATATAGCCACATAAATAGAGAGAGTATAATCCATTACAATGGCAAATAAACAACACACAGAGGTAAATTTTATATTTTTTAAACGGAAACACTAAGAGCAATGCAACTCAGGGAAACTTGACCTATACATCTATAAAATGTACTAGAAATGATGCTTAACAGTGTATAAGTTTCTTACTAGGATAACAATAAGTTAACCTTAAAACAACCTGAAACGATTTCTTACTACAAGGACAGGAGGGGGGAAGGGGAGGGCAGCGAGGACAAGTCCAGTTTGTCAAATGCTGGTAGATATGACGATATCATAAAGATGCTTCAAACAATTTGAAAACATAAGCAACTCCAGATTCAATGGCATAAAGCAACAATGTTATTAGGAAAAAGGAAAGTAACATGATGCAAACTTTTGAAGCTGCTCAACATAGATAAAGACATACTAGATGATGCTTCTGGAGCAGCCCTTTGTGGCTGAAAATTTTGCTTCTGCTGATCAATCAAGTTCTGCTGTTGAAGTAAAGGACTTGGAGTTTGAAGCCTCTGCTGCATTTCTCGTTGTAAAGGATTTGCTTGCTGCTGCAAACCCAATGGCCCAGGTTGTGATTGATTCTGTTGCATCATTTGCTGTTGTGGTTGAGATTGAAGACCTTGAGTTGGCAAAAGTGTAGCACTTGGAAGCATTTGTTGTTGACCTGCAACCTTTGATTGTGGTAACATCTGGATATGTTGATTAGTTATCAATCCAGAGTTACTAGATTGATTTCCAGCCAGCTGTTGCTGTTGTAGACCAGCAACATTACCTTGAGGGCCCATTTGCTGCTGATGTATACTTGGAACATTATTTTGCTGATTAATTAACTGCTGCTGTTGTACACTAGAATAGTTATTCTGTTGGGCCATCAGCCTATTCTGCTGGTGCTGCACATCAGGGATGTTGTTTTGCTGGCCAATTAGCTGGTTCTGCTGGATATTTGCAATGCTCTGCTGCTGCCCAATTAGCTGCTGTTGCTGCTGCCCAATCAGCTGCTGTTGCTGCTGTTGAGGTTGTTGCTGTTGGCTTTGCAACATTGGCTGTTGCAACATTGATCCCTGCTGTTGATGAATCATAGGAGTCTGTTGTTGCTGCTGCTGCCTGAGGACCGTTTGTGACCGTTGCTGGAGCATGGATTGACTTGGTTGTTGAACAGAAGATTGTTGATTCTGCTGAAGGTTTGACAGAGAAGTTTGTTGTGTGGTAGAGGGCTGCATGACCGCTTGCTGAGAAGATTGGATCTGAGTTGGTTGTAGTAGGTTCTGTTGTTGCTGCTGCTCCTGTTGCTGCTGCACTTGAGATTGAAATTTCTGTTTCATCATGTGATGGCGTAGCTGCTGTTGGTAAAGATGTGGATGAGGGGTCTGAGACTGTTGTTGTTGCTGTTGCTGTTGGGAAACAACTTGTTGTTGCCTCCCTTGCATCTGTCTCTGAGAATTGGGTACCATATTCGAATGACCCATGCTGTTTCCTACTGAATTTTGAGCAACATTGGGAATTCCTTGTACATTCTGTGAATTAGAATTTTGGCTTACTACACTTGGAATGTTAGGCTGAGTCAAATTGCCAACGCTAGGAAGTGCAGGCATCAGACTAGCAGAATTCTGCATTCCAGATGATGTAATATTGTTCTGAATATTTTGGGAAAGTAGTTGCTGCCGGGCTTGAGATTGATTGGTTACCATAGGAACAGAAAGTTGCTGCACTTGGTTATTAACTTGGGGTTGCATTGGATGTGAACCTACAGAAAGGCATCAAGAGACATGTCCAGAGATATGAGTCGAGGCCTCAGGCTCATAGCAATTTTAATAGTGAAACAAACACAGCAGCCATAAAACAAAGCAACCCTACTTTAGAACCCAGTAAGATATAAAAATTTATAGTCCTAAAAGAACAACCGGAAATAGGAAACAAGAATCTTTCTCTACAAGAGTTGTCATAGTAAAATAACATCTGCAAGAATAGTAATCTTCTCTACCCAATGGTTGAGCATGAGTAACCAATACCACTTCCATTGGAACAATTAATTTGGTCACAAATTAAATGAACATGAAATCCTGTTATATTACCTGTTCCTTGGGGATTTTGACTACTATTGGCAACATTAGCCTGCAGAGGGTTAGCCATGGGATTTTGTGATTTTGTCTCCATAGATAACATCTTCAAGGATATCTTCCGCAAATAATCTGACTGCAAGAGAAATTAAGTTGATGGTTAAAAGTCATGCCATGTATAAATAATCTTAGTAGTAAACATTTTGACAGTTAAATAAATAATTGAGTAGATAAAGGCTATAAATTTAAAATGACAAACATTATGCATACCTGATTTGTTGCAGCAGTATAAATTTTTTCCTCAAACCTCACTGCAATTTTCTTAAGTTCCTGCAGTCCCTCTGGTCCAGAGAAGGGAAGATGTCTCTTTAAAGTCTCCATTCTATAGCCATCATATTTCATATATCAGTTATGACAAAAGTTGATAAAGATACCATCCAACATTACAAGAGAAATACATCTAAAATCCATCACAAAGAGATCAATACTGATTATATATTACCCACCCCTTCCCCACCTAGAATGAAGAAAAGAATTCTTCTTGTGTGCATAGCTTCTCAAATATGATAGTACAAGAACCAAATATTGAAGTTTTGGGGCTCTTCCAAATAAGCATAGAATATAGTGCTTCACTGCTTCTAAAAAATTTTATAGTGTATATGATTGCCAAGAATAAACACAACAAATATGGACTCCCTAAAGCCCAAACATGTAGTTTGCTGAATTAGTATTTGGAACATGCTATGCCATGGCAATGTAAAATATGACTGTATACTTTTTTGCGGCCTAAAAAAATCTTGAAATTACCAGAGTAAACTTCCATCAGGCTTATATATATGTATGCAGCTTAAAAGTGAAATAAATCAATCCCCGAACTCTAAAATTTAGCATTTACTGCTAGTTCCATCAAACAGATAGCATCCATTAAAATACTAAGAAGAAGCCTACGAATAGCGAGAACCAGCAAATTTAGGGTTTTCAAATATTCAAATTCTAGAATTGGCTTCCAATTCGCAAACGTATGACGGCCAAGTTTGCACAGAAATGTTATAAGAGTGCGGAAAATTTACATCTTGTTGACAATCCTCTGCCTGGACTCCGGTTGCAATTGAGTCCGCCAATCGCCCGTCTCCATAGCTCCGGGAGCCGGTGCCGCCGCCGCAGCAATGGCGGTGGGGTCACCACCCTGAGGCTGGGCCAGAGGTTGCGCCGCCCTCCAATTATTCCCGTCCATGCTATATCAACTTCCTTCTACAGCTTCAATTACAGCCGAATAGATAAATGAAAGCCAAAATTCCCAGACTAGTGGTCAAAGAGACTGACTCCAGAATTGGAAGAAATATTTTTTAGAAAAAATTTTAGAGAGAGAACTGGAAATTCAACAGAGATGAGAAGATTCTATGTGGGCACCGAACATTAAATACCGTTTACTTACGGCAAGATAATAATATTACTATATTAGAGAGCGTTTGGTAATTGGGGAGTGGTAATTGGGGAATGGAGAAAATGTTTAAGGATGCTTTGGAAATTTGAAAAATGTTTTTTGAGTTTTCAGTATTTGGATGTAACATAAAAATTTAGTCATTGGAAAATGGTTTTTGTTGATTGGAGAAAATGAAGTTATTTTGGTGAAAAATAACTTCTGTTACAATTTTGGAGAAGTCATTTCCGTCAAAATGTTTAAACATATAATTCTACTCATTTTTTTTTTGAAAATAAACTAAACACACCAAGTATTCTAAAATGCAATCAAACATCGGAAATGAAAATGTTTTCTGGAAAATGAGTCATTTTCCAGAAAACATTTTCCAGAAGTCATTTTCCTGTTTTCCAAACGGACCATAATTTCACATTTGTTGTAATTTTTTACTCTTCAAATTCATATAAGTTAGCTCTGATATCAAATTGAAGCATGTATTCTATCTCATTATAAAGTTAAATTGATAGTTAAATTGCACATTTATGTATATATATATATATATATATATATATATATATATATATATATATATATATATATATTATTTACTTATTCGGGTCAAGGGAAATCAATTCTATGATATAGAAAAGTAAATCTCACTTAGAAGAGATTTGATACGTTTTTTTTTTTCAAATGATTAAGAATCTATCAAAATTATTTAATTACGTATTCTTGTTGTATCAAATTAAAAATCTCTTATAAATATAAGAAATTTGTCTCTTTTATTTTTTCTTTGGGGGAATTTGTCTCTTTTATCATTCGAAATATAATAGCACTATTTGTCAAATAAATTTGTCTATTTTAACACGTTTATATATATATATATATATATATATATATATATATATATATATATATATATATATATATATATATATATATATATATATATATTATTTGCTTATTCGGGTCAAGAGAAATCAATTCTATGATATAGAAAAGTAAATCTCACTTAGAAGAGATTTGATACGTTTTTTTTTTCAAATGATTAAGAATCTATCAAAATTATTTAATTACGTATTCTTGTTGTATCAAATTAAAAATCTCTTATAAATATAAGAAATTTGTCTCTTTTATTTTTTCTTTGAGGAATTTGTCTCTTTTATCATTCGAAATATAATAGCACTATTTGTCGAATAAATTTGTCTCTTTTAACACGTTTTTACATATATATTGCTTAGTATTTTAAATATTCTTGTTGTAGACTGGTTTTTTTTTTTACATGTGATTTTTAAAATATTTTTATATAACAATAATATTTTAAATATTTAAAAATTAAAATTTTCTAAAAAAGAGTGAACAAATCAAATATCTTAATTATTTTTTTTTATGATTTAAATTTTATATTTCAGATTAGCACTAAATATGTTAATTAATTTTTTTGTAGAATTATTTCCATCAAATACGAGAAATACTTTTCCAGTTAATTGATGTAAATTACCAAACGCCCTCTTAGGCAGTAGAAGTGTAGAACTCAGTAATTACCTTTTAACTCCCATTAATTACTGTGGTTATCATCATTTTACTATGATTAATGAAATTAATACTACGTATTAGTATTTGCTACGCAATTAGTTCGGTCAATGACATAAAGCTCTGCAAGCGCGCTTCTCTGACAAAATTGCCCCTTTTAAGATATTGCAAGAATGTTCTCCCAATATCTTAATTTTGTATTATTGTTTAATTATTTAATGTGGATTTTATTTACTGATATTTGTAATGTTTATCTCAAAACAAAGTTTATCCATATTTTAACTATTTGTCATGTCTCATTTCTTATTTGTTATTCATAACTGAACTTTTTTTTTATATAATTTGTGTGCTTAATATAGTTTTTTTAGAAATATTATTATGTTAATTTACATCATACCTTTTATACTTGATGTATAATTTTTAAAATGCATTAAGTTTGTACCTGACAGTCCGACACAATAACTAATTATTCCGTACAAATTAAGACATTTGACAATAACTTTAGATTACTAACTAATTGGAACTCTTTCTCGTCTTACTAATTTACCATCTAGCTAGTTATCCAATTAATAAGGACTGAATAAAATAAAATTCGTGTACAAGGTAGCCACTTACTCCAATGGCAAGATAGAGATTCGACTTCCACCAACAACATCTTGGAGTTAGCGTTCCCCAAGTTGGAGTTTTGGCTCTTAGGCTCCTTAAATTGGAGATTAAACTTATGATAAACACCTTAAAACTAGAGCTCCTCAATGAGTTTGGATTATTGGGCTTTCCAAGTTGGTGGAAGTGTGGATATGGATCTCTTATGCGCAAAGTCAAATACACTGACTAACTGAGAGACTTATTGGGCGATTCATGATTTACCTCTTCTAATGACTTTTAGGCATGGATTATGGTCGTTTAAGATTAGCCTAGCATAGGCGAATCTAAAGCGTTCATGAATATGTTCGAAGCCTGCGAGCTCATGCATACCCTCCGGGAAGGGAATCGATGTGCGTATGCTTTTGCCAACTTGGGTCAAATTGACAATGGGGGACCATGATTCTTGATCTCCATCCGGATGGGGTACAAACTATCCTCCAAAGGGACGCTCAAGGCGTTGCCATTAGAAGAATTTATTAATCGTTTATGGGACTCTCGGAGTCAGGTGGGTCTTAAAAAAGTAAACCTGCGGTGGGTTGGTTTGAATTCGGGTTCTATGTACAAAACCCACTGACGGTAAAAATGTTACCGGTAGTAATAATATTAGAGTAACGCAATGTAAAAGAGTGATAATAGTTGTATTGCCAAGTGTTTTAGTACAAAATAGTCAGCCTCTCCTCCCAAACTGAGGGGACCATCTACTTATACCAGGGTGCTAACGGTAACAACATGGGACATAAATGGGCAGCTAAGCCATTAATTCTCTCTCATCAATGGTGGCTTCAATGGCAATAAAGGTGACACCTGTTGGAATTCTGTCCGTTGGGTTTCCATGTGGTGCCGCGTCAAATATGGTGCCGGGTCAGATGCCCACTTATGATCCGGGTCGGGTGCGAGCCCTATTATCAACCTCACCCGACCCACCATGTGTGTGTGTTTATATATATAATAGTAAAATAAGTACTAGTATGTAGTTATTTATAAAAATTTATATAACTTTGTGTATCTTTTTACTGTTTTTTATATCTAAACTACTATGTTTATTTTTAAAAATAACAATTTAGTTATTATATTTAAATATTTCTATTATTTTATGTTTTAATATCATAATTTTATAATTTTATTATGGGTAAGTAATTTAAATATTATTTTTTGAAAAAAATAATAAGATGATAAGTGGTGGGTACCCGTAGTGGGCACTGGCATCCGGTGGGTTGGAGGTGAATTTTGAAAATGTCCACCCGATGCGAGTTGGAGGTTGGGGTGGGTGGAGAAAATATAAGGTGAGTCGAGTGATGGATGTAGCCCTTCTCGACCTATTGTCATCCCTAATCATACGTAGCGTACCAAAATCAAGAAAAAAAAATCTCTCTCTTAGGGCTACTCTAATCTAGTATGACAATTGTCTCGTCAGAAATTAATTAATTAAGCATTTTGTCTTATCAGGACGTTTGGTTGGAATGAGGGAATTAGGGAAGAAAGGAATTGTAATTCGGTGAGAAAAGAATAAAGTGAAAATTTAAATTACATTGTTTGGTATGAAGGAATACATTGATGAAGAATTGAGAGGGAATAAGTGAATAAATACTAAAATGTTCTTATATAATAGTAATATAATAATGATAATGAAGGTAAAGTGGTGGTTTACCATGAAATTGCAATTCAGCAAAGCATGAAATTGTAATTCCCTCCAACCAAACCATGGAATTTGGTAGGAATGAAATTGCAATTCCATCCTACCAAACACACCATAACAGGGTGTTTGGTAGGAGGAAATTTAAATTATCTTCCCACTTAATTCCCACCTAATTCCAAATGCCATAAAATTCCTTAGTTTGGTTGGAAGGAATTGGAATTGCAATTCCCACATTTTCATGGAATTAAAATCACATGTCCCCCCCTGGAATTTTAGGAAGAAAAAAAGCTAGTGATGAGGCAAAATTACCCCTCCATTTTTAACCTAAAATTAATACCACAACAACAATGGGCATTTTAGACTTTATACTACTTATTCCATTTCAATTCCCATAATCCCATGTATACCAAACATTAGAATTGAAATTCTCAGTAATTCTATTCATGTAAACCAAACACTGAAATTTAAATTTTCACTTTATTTCCAGTAATTCATCTCCCATGGAATTACAATTCCTTTCTCACGTAATTCCCCCATTCAACCAAACGCCCTGTAAGTGTATTTAACATCTTTTAAGGATAGGAATAAGGGTCAAATAGGCCATCAAACTACACACTAAACTACAATTAGGTCATTCAACTCAAAAAAACTACATCTGGGTCCTTGAACAACTCCAATTCAAGCAACTGGGTCTAAAATAACTTGTTGACCAGGTAATAAGATGACGTGGCGGTTACTAAATTGATTTTTATTTTAAAAAAATATTTTAATAATTTTTAAAGGAAAAACCCGTCGGAGAAGCTATTGACATCGTCTTTGCCACCGTTTCTGCTGCCACCTTCAAACTCTCTGTCATCCCCATCACCACCAACGCCTTCACCACCCGATGATGCCGGTTGCACCGGCGCCTGAACCCGACACCCATTCACCTTCACTTGAGAGAAGTTTTTTGTTTTAGTAGATGGGCAAGAACCAGTTAGGGACGTGAAGTTGACGGTGAATAAACAGTACAGTTTGGAGTGGAAATGAATAAAAAGGGAGAGAGGCAGTAATAATAATCCAGGTGATCGAGGAATTTTGTGTTGCTTTTCTGAATTGAAATTGTCAACAAATAAAATTTCGTGTTGCCTTTCCGATCACCATTCTTTGTCTCCCGGACGGAGATGGAAGGTGAAGGGGGTGGCTGACTGGCCGGCAATTTTTTATTTTTTAAAAGTTTTTTATTTAAAATTTATTAAAATAATTTTTAAAAAATAAAAATTAATTTGGTAACCTAATTACTTGGTCAACAGGTCACTTTAGGTTTGATTACTCGAATTTGCGCTGTTCAGGGACTTAATTGTAGTTTTTTTTTTTTTTTTTTTTTTTTTTTTTTTTTTTTTTTTTAGTTTGATGGCCTAATTGCAGTTTTGTGTGTAGTTCAATGACCTATTTGACCCTTATTCCTTAAGGATATAATTATCCTTGCACTTTCTTCCACTGCAAAGCTAAGATAGAGAGATAAATTTATTATTATTATTATTATTATTATTATTATTATTATTGTATATATGACATAGGTTGCAAGCTTGCAACCATGTTTGTACTTTTTAATTTTTGTTGTTTAATTTGTTATGTTTGTTTTTTTCTTCCTTCTATTTATTTTGTTTTTATGTGATGTGAAAGTGGGGTCTATTTTGAAAGTGAGAGAGTAGATAAAACAGTAAACAAAATTATAAATTTAGTTATGTGGAAGTATGACCAATTTTTAAAAGTGAAAAACTAATGCAGGATAAATTCAACCTAATAATTGAAAGACTTGTAAAAGTGTTATGCATGTTTTTTGCATTATTATCGATCACCTCTTGACTTGTTGTGGCCTATTTTTTTTGACATTTATAGTTTTATATATTAATTTTAAATATTAATAACAATAATATTATAATATTCGTTTTTGAATATAAGTTGAAATAGTAATGATGTAGAAAAAAATAGTATAGTGTTGTATTGTAAATATTATGGTATGACAAAAAAATATACTTTTAAAAATGATAAAGAATTATATGGATAAAGATAACATACTAGAGTTATTGGTTAGATTAGTATATTATAATTTCTACCATTGTCAAAGAATAGAGTAATTAATATTCAATAGTGAGAGTGAGAATGTGAGATCATGCATTCATGCGTGACAATTCTTTAAAATAGGAATTGATTTTTTTTTAAAAAAAATAATGCGCCAACACTAAATTATAGATGTTTTAAAATAATGTTTTTTTTTCTGTCTAATATACAATAAGCTATTTCAATCACATTATGGAATATAATAATGACCTTTTATTTTCAAAAAATAATGACCTTTATTCCATTATTAAGTGGGACCAAAAAAAAAAAAAAAAAAAATTAGTCAAACCAACTTTTTGAGAAGCTAAGGCAGATATCACTCACATTTGCACATGTATAGATGCAGAGTTCTACTATGGGGAGTTGGGGATTCCAAAATTCGACTCCATTAATTATATTCAATGATATGATAAGTATGAATACGACATTCTTATATTGTGGGTTCAAAACTAATATGGTTAGCGTGGTGGTTCAGCACCTCATCCCTTAAGTATGAGGTTGGGGGTTTGATCTTCAAAAATGTGAATGGAGCAAATCATTTGGTTAGTCCAAAAATGGTGAAATAAAGTAAAAATAAAAAAAAATTAGGAATACAATTAATATTTTCCATATATGTAAGGTCTAAAATAACAATTTTTTTAAACATAAAATTACAAATTTTAGAACGTGGCTAAATTTGGTCATAATGTCAATTTCCAAATATGGACTAGGGCTTTGTTTGGTTAACAACTAATCCGTCAATCTTTTACTAATGTGATCATCTTTATTTGATAGACAAAGTCAAATTGCTACAAAAAAAAATGTTTGATTAATTTCTATTTTTTATTTTTCACTACTAAAATGTTAAGAATTAAAACACGATTGGCAGATGTGTTTATACATCATTGAATTCCTTTTTTGTTTTCAAATTTCATTTTAATTTTGTCTTTTGTCCTATCACGCTAGTCTCTAATCTTTTCTCTTATCATGGACTCTAACATGCTTTTTGTGAACGATTGATTGTTCTCATTAATTCTAAGATTTGTTCATATCCTATTTGTTTATCTTACAAATATATTTCTCTATACTTTTAATTGGATATTATTTTTCAAACATACACTAAATTTTGGTACATAACCTTCCTTGTAGATAAAATTGAAAATATGTAATTTTTTTTTTTAATATTTGAGAATTGAGTGTAGTTTTGTGTTTGTGATCTTTTAACTTGTATCTAATTTTTGAATTGTGTTCTGTATGGTTTATTATACCGTAAATTTATTTTATTTTTCTTTCAAATTTATGCTCTTGTTTGTTTTTTTTTTTTTTTTTTTTTTTTTTCAAATTGAATTACTCCGTGGATCATAATAATATATAATAGAAATAATGGTCAAATATGTCATTGAACTATACACAAAATTGTAATCGAGTCATAGAACTAAAAAAGAAAGAAAGAAATTTATAACAGGATCCCTAAACAACACAAATTCATGCAATTGAATCCCAATAACCTATTTAAATAATAATTGTTGACGTGACAGTTAACAAAATAAAAAATAAAATTTTTAACTTTTATTTTAATAATCTTAAATAAAATAATTATTTTTTTAAATGAAAACCCACCACCTCTCCCCAGTCTTCGTCTCCACCGGAGACAAATAGTCCCGTTTTCTCCAGCAGGAAGACAAAGAGATGTTATTTGTCTTCGGGCGGAGACAAAGGGGAAGGGGCAATTTTTATTTTTTTTAAAAATTTAATTTTATATAAATTATTAAAATAAATTTAAAACATTTTTAAATAATATGATAACCGTCACGTCATCAATTAATGTTTAAATACGTCTTCTTCTTTTTTTTCAATTGCGCAAATTTTTACGTTGTGTAGGGATCTAATTGTAATTCTCTTGAGCTTAATGACCCAATTACAATTTCATGTATAAAATATGAAAAAAAAAATTGTCACTTTTGATCCTATGACTATTGTAATAATTTTAATTATGGAAATACATTTTTACCCTCATCAATTCAGCAAGTATATTCCCGTTACAAATTTTCGACAACTTCTTACCGATATATTGATCGAATGGACTAAAATTGACAAAAATTAAATAATTATAAATTAGAATTGACACTTGTAAACTCATGAAACTCAAATTTAAAATACCCCAATAATCATAGGTTAAAAATTGAAAATGTTTATATATATGTTAATACCAAACAAAGGCTAGTTGTAAACTAAACTTTTTTCGCGCGTGCACGATAAAGCGATTTTGTTTGGGTGAATGGCGGAGACTTCTACGACGTGGAAGAAACAACAACCTCATTCGTACTCAAAACCAACCAAAATCTCGGCAGCTTGATGTCTGTGGACTGTGGTATCTGGAAAGCAGACGAGAATCTTGACAGAACCCATTCTTCCATATTCTCAGAATCATACGAAGACGATGGCCATGACTATGCGTTTCTCCTGCCGACACTTATTCCTTGTATGAATCTTCCTGTCTGTTGTAAATTTACCTCAATGTTTTTTCCCGCTATGAATTGACAATAGTCTGAAATCGACTGACTAGCAATTAATTTAGTGTTAATGTTATTCTCATATCATTTCTGCCAATTGAATGAGCAGGCTCTCAGAAAAGAGAGAGAATTGATGAGAATACCGTTTGCAGGCAAGCTGTTCGTGATATTTATGAATTTGAATTGTATATATAGCTATTAGCTAATTGTTCATATTTATGGCTGTGTATGTATAGGTGGTATTATATCAACTGGCAGAAATGGGACTTTTCCCAGCATATTCAAATGGGCAGTTCCTTGTCAGATATCTGTGAAGTCTGTGCAAACAAAGGCTCATATAAAGTTCCCACAAAACTCATCTGGAAGTAAAGAAAATGCTTTTTTGAGAGACAAGAAGACGGTTCCTTATTCAGACCCTCCAAGTAGAGATGATGTTAACCGCCTGTATGAATTGTTTGATAGGAGGTCAGTACACAAGATTTCTTTGTTCAGAAAAATGGATGATAATGCAACTTTGGGTGACAAGGGAAACCCCATTGGGTAAATCCCACCTTGTGATTCTAGCCGACAAAGGACCACGAGAGGTAAATCAACGTAGGTTGCCCATAACTAACTGGCTCAAACCAATATGCATAGGGTGAACCCTCACCCCACCTTGTGATCCTAGCCAGCAAAGAAGTTTAGGTTGCCCAAACTGACCAGCTCAAACCAACAAGGTCAATAGTCCACTCTTGCTGAGAGTCGAACTTATAACCTCGTGGTTACTAAGTCAACAACATGGGCACCTGGCCAACTTGGTTGGGGTTACCCTATGATAATGCAACTTTATAATAGTAAATAGCTCTTTTTTTGTTAGTGGATAAATTAGTCAGGCTAAGCTAATTTTGTTTGGATTAGTGCGTGTTTATGTTAGTTGATTGTGTATTGCAAACGATGAAAGATGTTATTTTGTTGCTTTTGTCTACTTCAAAGTTCTAGTTCTACTTTGATAGTCTTAGCATGGCATTTGGTCCGGTGGCGTTTATGTGCTTTGGTGAAGGGTGAAATTTCACGATGGATCTTGTTTAGCATCTACATATATGTATGTGTGTCATATCATTAGAGGACAAATGTATGAGCCAATGAGCCATGGAAAATGGAACTAGGAGGAAGGAAATTATGTAAAGTAAAATGCAAAATGTAACTCCATAAACATAGGCTCTGGCTCTTTTGGTCTTACTCGGCTAGCAAATGGCAGAGAAAAGAGAAAAACGGAAATTAGTTAGAATCACAGAAGTTCTCGTATTACAATAATGGATTTCAAGATTCTTCCTTGAATTAATGGCGTGCTCTGAATTGTATGGCTTTTGATCGGCAGTCTCTAATTCATATCATGACATCTTTTATAGATAGAGTGAACATCATGACCGCAAATTTCTTAACATATGTTGTTTGTTTGTTTTGCATTGTGCAGTAAGAAGGTTGTTGTTTTGACTGGAGCAGGGATAAGCACAGAGAGCGGTATTCCTGATTACAGAAGGTTACTTCTACTTGCACCGAAAAACTTCTTGTCAATTGAATTGTAGGACACAAACTGAATGCCATGGCTTTACGTGTCCTAGGAATATTGTCCTTGTTTAGATTTACGATGGTACTACCGTACTACTTTTAACCGTTTTCCTTCTCGATTGGCAGCCCAAATGGAGCATATAGCACAGGTTTCAAACCGATTACTCACCAGGTGATCTGAAGGCATGTCTTGTAAATTCTTTATCATTCAAGTGCTGTTTTCTACTTTTCTCCCTCGTTCATGTTTTGCTTGTTTCTATATTTGAGTAATTTCTTATACAATTCTGCGTCATAATTCACACGTTTATATTCTCTGCTTCCTGACTTGCTTGGTTTTCAACATGCAGGAGTTTCTCCGCTCAGTTCGGGCACGAAGACGTTACTGGGCAAGGAGCTATGCTGGTTGGAGACGGTTCACTGCAGCACAGCCTAGTGCTGCTCATATGGCCTTAAGCTCTCTTGAAAACGCGGGCCACATTAGTTATATGATTACACAGAATGTAGACAGGTGAGGATAAGACTGATTTTCTATCGACTTGCATAATTACTGATTAGGGGACTTATGGTACTAAAAAAATTATTTTTCATTTCAGGCTGCATCATCGTGCTGGAAGTGACCCGCTTGAATTGCATGGTACCGTATATACTGTTATTTGTACGGATTGTGGTTATACTCTAGCTCGTGATCTATTTCAAGATCAAGTGAAGGCTCTTAATCCAAAGGTTAGTTTTTATTATTATTCATTTATCTATTTTATTTGGATTAAATTAAAATTCACTGCCCCCACTTTTGTGTTGCCAATATTGTTATATCATTACAAAGAATTTCATTTCTATAGTTATATCAACTCGTACTCGTACTGCTTCGTTTTCTTTACTTACTGTATGGGACTAGAACTTAAGTGAAGAACGCATATTGTGCAGTGGGCTGAGGCAATTGAAAGTTTGGAGTATGACAGCGGGTCGGACAAGAGTTTTGGAATGAAACAAAGGCCTGATGGAGATATTGAGATTGATGAGAAATTCTGGGAGGAGGATTTCCATATTCCTGTTTGCCCAAAATGCAATGGATTATTGAAACCAAATGTAAGTCGTTTTTCTTTTTTTATTTGATAGATGCGTATATTACCTGACTTAAAGGTCACAATTGAAAAATGGGGGCTAACTCTATAAATTGAACCAAAAAGCATTTTCCAAAGGACTGTCTAGTTCGTGTTAGTATGAACTTTGAGGTTGTAGAGGTGATTTTAGCCATCGTTGAAGTTATAAAATTAAAATACATTTACATCATGTTTGGTTTAGGTTAAACAAGGGTAAAATAGAAAATAAAATATATATAAGCTATTCCTGAGAACTCAGGAATAGCTTAATACAAGGAGGGCAGTAATAGCTATTCCCAGGAACATTGTTCCTGGGGATACAAGTTCTTACCAAACAAAGGAATAGGCCTATTACTGGGAATGCTATTCCATTCCAGGCCTATTCCACGAACCAAATGTGCTGTTACAGTGATGCTATCGAGGTTAGTTAAATTTCTAATTGTTGACAATTTTAAGGTTGTCTTCTTCGGAGATAATGTCCCCAAAGGGAGAGCTGATTCGGCAATGCTAGCTGCCAAGGAATGCGATGCTTTTGTTGCACTGGGTTCTTCTTTGATGACCATGTCTGCATTCCGGCTAATTAGGTGAATTTTTTTATTTATTATCGCTCGAGTTCTTGCAACCAAAACTAGAGTGTTTCAAATTTTCTCTTCTTGGAGACTTGCATCGAGTGCATTCGATGTCTTGAGAGATGATAAATGTTCAAATTTCATTGCACATTTGCACAGAACTGCACACGAGGTCGGTGCTGCCACTGCAATTGTAAATATCGGTGTAACACGAGCCGATGATTTTGTACCTCTGAAAATCAATGCCCGACTTGGAGAGGTAAGGCTCCTTTACAATTTACGCAAGTCACTGGCGCCATTTTACCTTATTTTTCTCTCCCTTGATTTTGCAGATACTTCCGAGATTGCTTGACATTGGATCCCTTGCTATCCCTGCCATTTAATCCCAGTTCTCTGAAAGCGAGGTATCAATACCATTCAAACAGCCACTTTGATCTTGGAAATGGTCTTAAGGTGCACAGGCAATCCCATCATTCACGTATTCTTTTTATATACATAGTTCCTTTCATACTCGAGTTTCAACTAGACCCTAATTGGGAGAGCTCTTATAACATCGATCTGAACCCAAAACCTCGTACTTGGACCACAACTCCACAAGTTTGTCGTGATTTGCATATCTTATTGTCGTTATTTGTCTGTCGTGTGTTGTCCAAGCATAACAAGCCCCTCGTGTTTGCCTGTATTGTTCCATTTTGGATCAAGATTCCTGATCCTTGTTGTACCAATTGTAGTATAGCCATTGTTATTGGGACTACAACATTTTTGTTACCTCTGGCAGTAAGGCTTATGGTGCCACTCCCATACATTTTTCTATTGTCACCTAAAATTAAATGATCTTTTTTTTTTTTTTTTTTTGAAAATAAAAATTAAATGATCTAATTAACTCAAATTTTGAAAATAATTTATTTTTGCAGTAATAGCTTAGGGGTCAAATTAAAATGTTTGTAATTTAATTTGGAAATAACATATTTAAGATATATTTGAAAATTTAAAACGTATAAACACATAATTATTACACTCAACTATCCTCACTAGTGTATACCTAATTATACTTTAAACAACCGTTACTTTTTTTTTTTTTTTCACCATGAAGTCATAACCCTATCGTTATCCTGCTAGTAATTACGTATTTAGCATATCACCTTCTTATTCAATCCCCACTTATCTATGTATATCCCACAATATTTGTCACATACCAAATGGTATAGGGCTACGGTGTCGTTGTTTTGACCAACTGATAGTTGGTTATAGAAAATGTGTTTGATAAATTAATTATTTACTCTTAGTTGATTAAGGCTGTGTTTGGAAACCTTTTCGGGTTTTTAGTGTTTGGCAAGGGAGGAAAATAATGGTCAATCGAAATTAATTTTCAATCAAATGGAAAACAAGCTTATTTTTTCCAAAAATGATTTTTTTTTTTTTTGAAAAGTCATTTTTCAAAAAATTTAAAACAACTTTTTCATGTTCTCCATCTTCTTCGTTGGTTTCCGGCTTCGGAAACTATTTTTTTAATAAATAATATTGGTTTTTTTTATAAAAAAAAATACAATTCTGCTCATTTTCTGAAAAATGATCCAAACATACTAAAATAGTTTTCCGGAATGCAACCAAACACGGGAAATGAAAATATTTTCTAGAAAGTAATTCATTTTTCAGGTTTCTAAATACACCCTAAATGTAAAATGACGTGTAAAGACATAAATATATTGTGATATTTTCTTAACTTTTAATGGATTACATGTAAAATGACTTATAAAGGCACAAGTATATTGACGTATATATAAGGCATAAAAAGCATGCTAACAATTCAATTGTTGGCATGGATTGCGTGCATGCCCACTTTACTAATGTATTTATTCTTTTTTTTTATATACAATATATAACATATAGTATAAATGATATGATTATGGCTAAATTATAAATTATATGCCAAAAAAACTATAATTAAGATTCAAATTTATATTTATGGTCAATTTAAAACTATTTATTAAAGATATTTTATTCATAAATTTGAAATGTATAAATACTATAATTATCAAAATCCATCCAAACTCGTTGTCATGTATCTTATGAGATTAGGGTTGGGGTTCAGCCTTTTGGAAGAATGTATCTGATGAGATAGGATGAAAAATATGCGCAGAACAAAAATTAGGAATTAAAAACGGTTCTATCAACTAACTGCTACTCTGTACTGTAATAATTATGATGTGATTATAAAGAGAGTTTTTTTAACAAAAATGTGCAGAGTTCTTTCGTGTTCGTTGAATGTCGTTAAATTTCTGAACCACTGGGGCTCGTTTGGTGACTGAAATTTAACAAATACAAAATAAAAAATCACATGATTTCACACATATTATTAGCTTATGATTAATTCTGTTTTATTTTTAAAGTCAATTTGACCTTGTGTTTTTAACCTATGAATTAATTGGATAATTTTATTATAAGAATTAATAATTAATCTAAATATATCATTATGATTTTTTTTTGAGTACTACTCAGAACTCTGTTACAATGTAGTATTCCGCCTCTGATCCACTGAGACTCAAACACATGATCTTTCATTCGGAAGAGTTACTTTGTGCTACTAGATCACAAAGTCATTGACATATAAATATGATATAGTCATTCTATATCATCATTATAAGATATCGCCTAAAATGATTTAATTAACTCAAATTTGAAAATAATTGATTGCGTAGTAATAATATAGGAGTCAAATTAAAATATTGGTTGAAAATAACTTAATAATTAAGATATTTTTGAAAATGCTGAAACGTATAACAGATGCAATTATTACACTACTCAACATTTCTGGCATGTACGATCTAATTATTTTTTATACAATTGCCACCTACCTGCCATTATGTTCACAATCACTAACATATTCCTATCCTACGAGTAATTATGTGTTTAGGAGGCAAGCTCAACTAAGTTAGTGAGACAATTGGCTTGGTAACTATAATGTTTTAAGTTTGTTTCTCCGAGTGAGTTGGTTTGAGGATATCAACTATGGACAACTTAAACAAATTTACCTCATTATGATCCTTTGTCATCTAATAATTATCTGTCATTAGTACACATTCAGATAACTGTTGTTGCATGCTTTCCTGTAAATCAAAGTAATTATGTATTTAGCACATCACTTTTTGTTTTTGTTTTTGTTTTTTGTTTTTGTTTTTTGTTTTTTGTTTTTTTTTTTTTTTTTTTTCATTCCCAACATATCTAACTATCTAAACAAGTTGATGGTGTTTAACCCGCTACATGTAAAATAATTATAATGAGAATCCAAATTTGTATTGTTGTCATTTAAAAAGCATGTACTTGTTTCAACCATAAAAAAAAAAAAAAAAAGCATGTACTAATGATAGATATTATCTTTATATTTAGTACATTTTTTTTTTCAAATGATAAAATATAAATTTTGTTCCTAATTATCTAAATATATTGTTATGATGTAATCATTATATTCTATATCAACATTATAATATATCGCCAAAAATGATCTAATTAACTCAAATTTTGAAAATAATTTGATTACATAATAACGTAACGTAACTTAGGTTTCAAACTAAAATTTTTGTATTTTGAAAATAACGTATTTAAGATATATTTACAATTTTAAAACGTATAAACACATAATTATTAAACTCACTTAGCTTATCCTCGTTGGCGTATACCTAATTATAAATACTTTACACAATTGTTACATACTTATTTATGGAAAATACTTGATGTACTCCCAAAACTTTACTCCCAACTTTTACTCCCCTTATTTATGTTCGCCATGACATCATCACCTACGTATCCTTATATTGCTAGTAATTACATATTTAACATATCACATTCTTCTTCAATACTGCTAAATACGTAATTATTACTAGCAAGATAAGGATATGTAGGCAATGAAAAACATAAATAACTAGGTAACAATTGTGTAAAATAATATTAGGTATATACTAAGTGAGGTTAGGTGAGTGTAATAATATATAATTATGTGTTTATACATTTCAAAAATCTCTTACATTATTTTTCAAATTACTAAAATTTTAATCGATTTGACTCCTATGTTATTACTACACAATCAATTATTTTACATATAATTTATAATTATTTAGTCATAATTATTTATATATTATATGTTATATATTTTATATGGAACATACAATAAGGAATAAAAATACATTAATAAGGAAGGCACTTGCATTATATGCACGCTAGCCACTGAATTATTAGCGTACCTAAAGTCATTAGGTATGTGACACTAAGGTTATATGAATAAGAATGTGATCGATGTGCTAAATATATATGTAATTACTTGCAGGGTAAGGATACGTAATTGATGATAAACATAAATAGGTAGGTGCCAGTTGTATAAAAAATAATTAGATCAACGCTAGTAAGATTATGTGAGTGTAATAATTGTATATGTTTATACGTTTCAAAAGTTTCAAAAATATCTTAAATATATTATTTTCAAATTACTAAAATGTTGATTGGACTCCTATGTTATTACTACACAATCAATTATTTTCAAAATTTGAGTTAATTAAATCATTTTAGGTGATATATTATAATGATGATATAGAATGATTATATCATAATGATATATTTAGATGAATTATTAACTTTGGTGATGGATACCCCCAAGTAGGGTACCTAGTCATGAGTATATCTCGACGGTCAGGACTCACAGTTTGACTACGTTTCCAAGGATAATATAATGGGAGGAATCCAATACCTTGGCCCCTATCGAGGCATACGGCCCATTCGGTAGGCCCGACTGGACGACCATCGAAGGCAGTCGGCTGAAACGCCTGATCGGGTGCCGCACTTAGAGACGGTTAAAAGGGGTTTCCACTAGATTTCCTTTTTAATATTAATTAGGAAAGAGGCAAGACGGTATGGAAGCTTTAATTTCCTAAGTCTTAATTTGTTAATTTTTTTTTTTTTCCTTTCCGAGGCATGTGGGACATGCGTTTCTTGTATTTAACGACGATGATTGAGAAACACATGTAGGACATAACCTGTCATATTTAAATATTTTTTAAAATAATTCTGAAACATAAATATGTATAATTATTATTTTCATATATCCAACTTTCACATAACCTTAGTGTCACATACCTAATGACTTAGCGTACGCTTATAATTCAATGGCTAGCGTGCAATGTAAGTGCCTTCTTAATTTACTAATGTATTTTTATTCCTTTATAACTTTGAAAAGTGTCTTATTTTTTGAATGAATAAGAATGTAATTGATATGCTAAATATGTAATTACTTGCAGGGTAAGGATATTATACGTAATTGATGACAAACATAAATAGGTAGGTGCCACTTGTATAACATAAAAACTAATTAGGTCAACGCTAGTAAGATTATGTGAGTGTAATAACTGTGTTTATACGTTTCAAAAGTTTCAAAAATATCTTAAATATTTTTTTTTCCAAATTACTAAAATGTTGATTGGACTCCTATGTTATTACTACACAAACAATTATTTTCAAAATTTGAGTTAATTAAATCATTTTAGGTGATATATTATAATGATGATATAGAATGATTATATCATAATGATATATTTAGATGAATTATTAACTTTGGTGATGTCAGGAGTATACCTCGATGGTCGGGACTCACAGTTTGACTACGTCTCCAAGGATGGGAGGAATCCAATACTTTGGCCCCTGTCAAGTCATACGGCCCATTCGGTAGGCCCGGCTGGACGGCGAACGGAGGCAGTCAGCTGAAATGCTTGATCGGGTGCCGCACTCAGAGACGGTTAAAAGGGTTTTCCACTAGATTTCCTTTTCAATATTAGGAAAGAGGCAATGCGGTTTGGAAACTTTAATTTTCTAAGTCCTAATTTGTTAATTTCTTTTTTCTTTCCTTTCCGAGGCATGTGGGACATGCGTTTTTCGTATTTAACGACGATGATTGATAAACACATGTCGGACATAACCTGTCATATTTAAATATTTTTTAAAATAATTCTGAAACATAAATACATATAATTATTATTGTCATATATCCAACTTTCACATAACCTTAGTGTCACATACCTAATGACTTAGCGTATGCTAATAATTTAGTGGCTAGCGTGCAATGTAAGTGCCTTATTAATTTACTAATGTATTTTTATTTCTTTATAACTTTGAAAAGTGTCCTATTTTTGAATGAATAAGAATGTGATTGATGTGCTAAATATGTAATTACTTGCATGGTAAGGATACTATACGTAATTGATGACAAACATAAACAGGTAGGTGCCAATTGTATAAAAAATAATTAGGTCTAACGCTAGTAAGATTATGTGAGTGTAATAATTGTATATGTTTATATGTTTCAAAAATATCTTAAATATATTATTTTCAAATTACTAAAATGTTGATTGGACTCCTATGTTATTACTACACAACCAATTATTTTCAAAATTTGAGTTAATTAAATCATTTTAGGTGATATATTATAATGATGATATAGAATGAGTATATCATAATGATATATTTAGTTGAATTATTAACTTAGGTTATGGATATTCCCGAGTAGGGTACCTAGTCAGGAGTATACCTTGACGGTCGGGACTCACAGTTTGACTACGTTTCCAAGGATGGGAGGAATCCAATACCTTGGCCCATGTCGAGGCATACGGCCCATTTGGTAGGCCCGGCTGGACGGCCAGCGGAGGCAGTCGGCTGAAACGCCTTATCGGGTGCCGCACTCAGAGACGGTTAAAAGAGTTTTCCACTAGTTTTCCTATGGCCTTTTCAATATTACGAAAGAGGCATTGCGGTTTGGAAACTTTAATTTCCTAAGTCTTAATTTGTTAATTTCTTTTTTTCTTTCCTTTCCGAGGCATGTCGGACATGCGTTTCTCGTATTTAACAACGATGATTGAGAAACACATGTCGGACATAATCTGTCGTATTTAAATATTTTTAAAAATAATTCTGAAACATAAATACGTATAATTATTATTGTCATATATCCAACTTTCACATAACCTTAGTGTCACATACCTAATGACTTAGTGAACGCTAATAATTCAATGGCTAGCGTGCAATGTAAGTGCCTTCTTAATTTACTAATGTATTTTTATTCCTTTATAACTTTGAAAAGTATCATATTTTTTTGAATAAGAATTTGATTGATGTGCTAAATATATAATTACTTGTAGGGTAAAGATACTATACTATACGTAATTGACGACGAACATAACTAGGTAGGTGCCAGTTATATAAAAAAATAATTAGGTCTAACGCCAATAAGATTATGCGAGTGTAATAACGGTATATGTTTATACGTTTCAAAAGTTTCAAAAATATCTTAAATATATTATTTTAAATTACTAAAATGTTGATTGGACTCCTATGTTAGTACTACACAATCAATTATTTTCAAAATTTAACTTTGGTAATAAGATTACCCAATTAATAATGGTCCCGTTTGGTAAAATAGAATGATAATAAGATTACCCAATTAATAATGGTGGTTTGATCCCCTTTGGTATCGACCACTTTTTTAAGAAAGTCATTTTGTCTGTAATAAGCTAATAATTAATTATCAAACAGTAGGTTGAGAAAATAGTTATGAACAGATACTACATTTTAACAGAGTCAATAGTACTAAAAAAAAAAAAAAATTACCAAACATTTTTCAAAAATCGGTTAATACTAGTCATACCCATTAACTCAAATAGCTAAGTTATTTTACCAAACACTCCTAATATGTGCAAAAATCTAGGCTAATAATAATACATGTGAAATGTGAAAATCATGTGATTTATATTTTATTTTGTATTTGTTAATTTTCAGTCACCAAACAAGCTGCAGTGGTTAATATTAAATTAAAAAATTTAACGACATTCAACGAACACGAAAGAGCTCTGAAGACTTTTCGTAAAAAAGCTCACTACTTTTATAATCATATATATCGTAGTTATAGTTATAACGACAGTACGGAGTAGCAGTTAGTTGATAGAACTAACCGTACCGTTATTAATTCTTAACTTTTCCGAACTGCGGTTTGCTGTTTGCCTAAGGAGGGAGAGAAAGAATAAAAGACAGATAATACATTAACAAGAAAAGTTAAGAATAATGCATGCGGCGGCGATAGAATATGAAGGAGTGAAAGAATAATAGGGATAATGATATATACCTAGCCTCTTTTAAGCCTTCATTCCCAAGTAAATTACTCGCCTTTCCAAAGAATCCCAGTCTTTATATATAAGGCAAAGAACAGGATCGGATCCTCATTGGCCCCATCTTGAAACAAAAAAATTTTCTTCTGTTAGTTGTCTGCTTCTTTGTCTCCTTGTCTGACGGCTTGACCTGAGCTTGTGTGGGAGAGATAGAGAGAGATGGAGGGGAGATTAATCGTGGCGGCGGCGATCTTTATGGTCGCCGCTGTTTGTTTGGCTGCCGGGTCGCCTGATCGGCTCGATCGCCATCAGAAATGGTGGAAATGGCCATCTCCTGGCTCTGATGGAGCGTCCTCGTCCTCGTCCTCGTCCTCGTCCTCGTCTTCGTCCTCATCCCCGGTGGTTAGTCGGGGTGGGCCGTCTTCGATTGTTCTGCCACTGTATGGCAACGTTTATCCAAACGGGTATGCGATTCTACTCTTTTGCATGATCTGATATATGTGTGCTTGAGACTAGAGTTGACTGGTGTCACAAAAGATGGAATTCTCTAGCCTCGGGTCCCGGACCTCAGATTCCGGCCCGACAGGCTATTGGGGCAATTTCCTTGATTGTTTTATCGATTTTTTTTTGAGATTTTATGTAAGGAAAGAACATGAATTGGCAAAGGTTGAATTTTTATGTGTAGTTCTGATGATCTGAATATGTTTTTGTAGATTTTACTTTGCCCAAGTGGATATAGGGAATCCTCCAAGGCCCTATTTTGTTGATCCTGATACTGGCAGTGATCTTACATGGCTTCAATGTGACGCTCCTTGTGTCCATTGCACAAAGGTAAAATCTAATTTCCCAGAATGAAGAATGGTTGATATAAGAAATATATATGCCTCAGTTACAGATGGATTTGTTTCTTTGTATATATGCACAAGATTGTTTATGACACCAAATTAAATTCCATATATATATATATTTATTGATGTGCAGGCACCTCACCCTTTGTACAAGCCCAACAATGACCTTGTGATTTGCAAGGATCCCCTTTGTGCCTCTTTGCATGTGGGCGACTACACGTGTGAGTCTCCAACGCAATGTGACTATGATGTTGAGTATGCAGATGGAGGTTCATCTCTGGGTGTTTTGGTTAATGATGTTTTTTCTCTCAACCTCACCAATGGTGTCAAGATTAAGCCTCATCTGGCTCTAGGGTCAGTATATCTATCTATCTTGCTCTCTGCTCTCTGGTATCGTCTGTGCTATTCAATTCATAACACTTGATATGTTATTCTCTGTTAACTGATTGATGTCAAGATCCAGCTTTTACGTCCAATCCCAATCAAGTTGGTCTGAATGTTGACTTGGTAACCACAAGGTTACAAGTTTGACTCTTATGAAAGTAACCTATATTAACTTTCTTGGTTTGATCAGGTCAATGGGTAACTTAGGTTTGTTTATTTCATTATGATCTTTTGCGGGTTAGGGTTACTAATAGTAGGTTGTGGGGTTTACTTAGGGTATACCCTTGGGTAGTGACTGGTTTGAGCCAGTCAACTATTAATAATCTATATGTACTTATTCACCTCACTGTGATCATTTGCCGGCTAAGGTCACAAAGGGTTGGTTATGGGGTATACCCAATACCCACTCTCAGTCAGTGACTGTGAATTTCTCTCGTCCAGCTTGTAGAACAACTTTTGCAGACATTATATTATATTATATTCCTTTTAATTAGTTGAATGGCTTTGAAGGTAGGTTGAGAAGTTGTGGATTTTTGATATGAACATACAGGTGTGGATATGATCAGATACCAGGTCCCTCTCACCATCCTTTAGATGGAATACTTGGGCTTGGGAGAGGAAAAAGCAGCATTGTAACACAGCTATGGGGTCAGGGTCTGGTGCGAAATGTAATCGGTCACTGCTTGAGTGGGCGAGGAGGAGGGTATCTCTTCTTAGGCGACGAGGTTTATGATGCCTCGCGTGTCACCTGGACACCCATGTCACGAGACTACACGTAATAATATATATAATATAATGTGCATATATGTTTTATTGTTGATTGATATGATGATGATGATGATGATGATACATGAGTGCAGGAAGCACTACTCTCCAGGGCCTGCAGAGCTAACTTTTGGTGGGAAAAGTACTGGGGTTAAGAATATGATTGTAGTGTTTGATAGTGGAAGCTCTTACAGCTATATGAATTCCCAACCATATGAAGCTTTTCTGTATTCAGTAAGTTAATTGTCATCTCCATTCCATATTTCCATTCAAATCTCGATCCCGATCATTATCAGCTTAAACTTTTAGTCTTGATCGACAATGGTGATATATACTTGCAGGTGGTGAAAGAACTGAGAGGAAAGCCATTGAGAGAAGCTGGGGATGACCCTACCCTACCTTTCTGCTGGAAGGGCAGGAGGCCTTTCAGAAGCATCAGTGATGTGAAGAAATACTTCAAGTCCTTTGCTCTCAGCTTCGCCAATGGATGGAGATCCAGAACTCTCTTCGAGATTTCCCCAGAATCATATCTCATCATCTCTGTAAGTAAATCCCGCCTTGTGATCATAATAATAAACGTGCGCACTACTGGAAATTATGAAATTTCCGACCACCTGAAAGTTATCTTTTGTTGCTATTTTCGACCACTTTTTGCTTTCAACTTGATATAAGATCACTTTCAGGTGGTGAGAAATTCCATAATTTTCAACCGTGGCGGTCTCACTTTGACTATAATGATAATAATATTTGTTGTGCAGTCTAAGGGCAGTGTCTGTCTGGGAGTTCTGAACGGAACAGAAGCAGGACTGCATAACTACAACGTTATTGGAGGTATAATTTTTGGTTTTTTATTTTTTTTATTGGATGCTACGAAACAGTAAAACATTTAATGAATTAATCTGAAATATTATTAATCTGGAATATAATATAATGGGTGGTCGGAGTTTTGTTTTGCAGATGTGTCGATGCAGGATAGAATGGTGATTTACGACAATGAGAAGAACGCTATAGGTTGGACTCGCGCCAACTGCGATCGCCCTCCGGCACCCAACGTTGTTTTCATTTGAACAAATTTAGGCTTCCATTATTCATTCTCTCATCTGTAGGCTATAATTATATATAGCATTTATTATATCCTACAAACTGCCCTAGCTGCATTATATTCAAATGTAGTATGTACACTACTTCAGTAATATGATTGCAGACATCTTCCTAACAATCCTTCTTTTTTAAAATTGTTGGTTTTACGGTTACAGGATAGCTGAACGGGCCAATCAATATAACCTTAAAATAAAAAGGGAAAATTAGGAGCGAAAGTTGACAAAATAATTGCAATAGAATAGAATTTTAAACATGTTACAATCTGTCTACCTTTATACAAGATTTATGTGCCTTTGAAAGCAAAGAAAGAAGAAATTAATAAATTAAGACTTAGGAAAGCTTCCAAACCACCTTGTCTCTTTCCTATCGAATGGATGCCTCAGCAGGGTCCAATTCAAGCAACTGGATTCATGTTCTCTGAAGTCAAACTGTGAATCCCGACCACCGGAGTATACTCTTACAAGGTACCCTACTTGGGGTATCTATCAGGAATTATTTTTGGTTTATAAATTAAAGAATGAATTGAGTGATACTTGGCTAAATTAAACGAATTGTTGTGGAGAATGGAGATGTTTGTGTTTAGGACTACTACTGCGATGGAAAGAGCATGTCTGGGAAAGAATTGAAGTGTTCATTGAATGGGTCGCCGGCGGGGAAGGCTGCCATGAAATTGTTCAGCTGAAAATCGAGGTCATCCCATCCTGAACCGCTCTGGACTTCCTTGTCCGGCGAAGACAGCATTTGGTCCGAGGAGGAGCTTGAGTCTGTGTGCCAATGCAAGTACTCACTCTGCGGTGGCGCTAACATCTCATTTGGTGAAAATCCGGTGATTTTGGGCTTCTGGTCGTCGGCGATTTCCCCGGCGACGACATTCTCATACTTTTCAAGAATGCCTTTCTTGTTGTATATCCGGCATAGAACCCAGTCATCAAGCTGTAGCATTATTATGCATAAATTATTAGATTATAAGTCGGGTTTAAGAAAAACGACAGATTCATTTGCTATATAGAATGAATATTGTTGTGTGTACCCTCAGATTGTGTCCCTTGCCGGCGGACCGGTCGACGTTAGCGAGACGGTACTCGTGCATTATCCAGTTGGTCTTTATTCCTCTGGGAGCTTTTCCGGCGTAGAAAACTAGGGCTTTCTTTATCCCCTGTGCCTTGCCGACGAGCTTATCGGCTCCGGTTGCCTTCCAGTAACCCAACCCGGCTGCCCTGTTCGGCCGCGAACCGTTGGGATACTTCCGGTCCCTCGGCGAGAAAAAGTACCATTCTTTTTCGCCGTACAACGCCATCTCTGCATCAAATTAAAATTAGTATCAGAACAGAACAGAACCCAACAAATTTACCGGGAATGGGTAGCAGCAGTTTACCGGGAAGTTGCCATGGGGCAAACTTGTAGAGATCAATTTCGGCGATAACGGGAACGGAGATGGGCTGGGAAGCGCACTTCCGGCAGAGATAGTGAAGCACCAGTTCGTCGTCGGTGGGGTGGAATCTGAACCCCGGCGGAAGAAAGTCCAGTTCAGGCCGGCGATTATTCTGGATTCCACCACCAATATTCATCTTTCTTCTGGATCCCTTGAATATCCTCTGTTGAGGTGCAGAATCGTCTAAATTCCCTGGCTTTTTGCTTTTCGGTTTTGTTGTGTTGAGTAATGAGTAGCAGTGATGGTGAAAGGAAGAAGATCAGAAGGCTTCTGGAAGGACTGAGGCAAAGATGTGAGGAAAACAGATATTTATAAGCAGAAGCGTATGTATGTATATACAGTGGAAGAAACAGTAGTGTGAGTAAAGTTTAATATAATCTATCTGATTGATTAAAATAATGATTGTGTGTTGGTCAAAAATGAAAATTTGTTGGTTATGTTGTGGGGAATGAATTGAATGCTTTGCTTTGCTGGGATGGTGTTGTACATGTATGACCGCCGTCGTGGCGTCGTTGAATGAAGGCGGAGAAGGGCGGATGGTGACCGGTGACGGCGACATCTTACGCCATCCTCCTCCTCCGTGTGGTGGTTTGGTTTCGTCACTGCTCCCGTCATCTCTTTTGGATTCAGCAGACCCCGCAACTGACCTGTTTACTTTCCTGCTCCCTTCCATATTCTACCTTTAGCATCACGTTAAGCCAATCTCAATTTTTACAATTTTTTTTTAGATATATATATTAAGAGTCTGTTTGGTAAATGACTGTTAGCTATTAGCTGATTAGGTTAATTAAATGGTGTAACTAGTTGATAACATTGATAACATTAGTTGATTGTAGAAAGATGTTTAGTAAATTGGCTGATAGTTGTTTGATATAATTTCTTTTCTAAAAAAGTTAATTGAAAAAGTTGTTTTGAGTAGTTTTTTGAATTTTAACATTTTGGAGTACAAAAAGTTAATTAACTAAACACTTATATTGATTTTTAAACCAAGTCAAACAACTAATAGTGGTCAAATAAGTCAAAATTAACCTATAGACTAACTTTAGTTTATGGCTTATGCTAAATTAAATTCTATGATGATGAGGTAAATTGTAAGTCATTCTACTTTTATACGTACGTGCACTCTATACATAAAATGATTGATTGAATCAATTGATCTAATGGCATGAGACAATTTTTACAATTTCTTTTTGTGAGTTTAAGTTTGAATGTGAATTTTGTAAACTAAATAAAAATATAAAAAACAATAAAAGTTTGGCTTGGGAATCTGGGGTAAAGCAACTCGCAATTTTACCTTCTCTAGCAATTTTTGAGCAATGTGGGCTTAAAATTAGTATGGGGGCAAACATAATATATCAAAAAATAAAAAATAAAAAATCAATAAAAGTGTGTTGCAAACACTTTGACCCTACGAGTGTGTGGGGGTAAGGGAGTACGAATAAATCTGAAGCGCACGAGAGAAAACATTTATGTTATAAAACTAACATGTCTCTAAAATGTTTTTGTATATATAGTGGTGCAAACCCACTTTCCAAACCATTGTGAGACAAGTGTTTTTACAAAGTCTTTCCACTTTTATTTTTCAATTCAAATGTGTCTACTTTGAGAATCAATTTTTCATTTATACATTACCTGTTTTGAGCGTACAATATATCCATCTTTTTGTCTCACTACGAAATACCCGAATCTACTTTTACCTGACCTAAATTGAAAATGGATCTCACATATATTTGTACCACAAAATAACCACTTAAATGTCATTTTATGCTTAAAATTCGCTTCAAAATTAAACATATACACCATTTTTTTTAACTCCAAATATGATACTCCGTAATATTTTGGTGTGCATCCATGATGCAAGATGAACCATGGTTAATACTATAATTTGTTGGTGTTAGCCAGAATAAAACTCGTGACATCTATGTATCCGAGTCATGTTTCACCTAATTGATGACGACCTCTTTAGGACTTTTAGCTATAATTTTATAGTTTAGCATCTTTGTGCATACTTCTTTTATTTAATATAGACACAAAAAAACATTATTTTCTTTGTAAGTAGAAAAACAAAAATCATGTTTCTAATGGTATGAAGTGACTCTCCCAAATGAGAAGTCATCATGAATTTGAGCCTCATGAGAATCGATATTGACTCTTTGTGCTTCAATAAGTTAAGAAACTAGTTATGAACATATACTACATTATAACAGAGTTTATAGTACTCAACAAAAATAGTGGCTCCCAATTGGTTTGTGGTCAACTCAACGACTTTCCTTCATGTTTACTTCTCAACTTTCGTTGGGATTTCATCGTCTTTTGACTATTATTTTTAAAGTAATATTATATATACTCTCTTATCATATATTCTTATAGATTCAAAAATAAAAAGTTTATTATATTATAATTTTTCAAGATATGTAGGAAATGATAAGAATTTTATATTATTTTAAAAAATAGCATAATTTAATGAGTCATAAATAGCAATTTTATCTCAATTATTATTGTGTAATGTTATACACTCGCATCTCCAACTGTGGAGTTTTTTTTTTTTTTTTTTTTTTTTTTTTTTTTGCTCAAGAACATGTAGGAAATAAAGAGAGAGAACGGAAAAGATTAAAAAAAAAGTTAGTCAAGATGGCCACCAATGCATGTACTACATTCATTCGCTGGGCGTTACTGGTATGCGAGATGCAATGCATGCTAACTTGCCAATTTTTTTTTTTTTTTTTATAATTTCGCAGGCTTACAAAAAAATCTAAACTCCTACAACATATCCTAATTCATCCAAGAAAAATAATTGTTCATAATTTGAATTTATCCATTTATCTTCTATGAATAAAATTACAAAATGTGATGAAAGTTTTACTTCATGGAAGTTATATATCATTTAATTTCCGAGCTTATAATTTAAGTTCCATGCATGTGTTTGACAATGGCATATATGAAGGAATGTTGACAAAAAAATGTATGGACGCGGTTTGAGGTTTATGTGAGGAATGAGGAGTCAGCTGATGTCATCTTTTGACATTAGCATGATAACGTATTCCATGACAGTAGTTGTCTAGTTGATGTCACATCTTTTGTTACATATATACTTACATTAAATTCTGAAACTTCTATGGATAAAATATTGACTTGCATGCATGCATTTCCTACGTGTATATTATTGTTATTCGACCTGATATCCTTTTGAATTTGTAATTAAACTAAATAAATCATGTTTGGTAAATGGCTGTTAGTTGATTGTGTTAATTAGAGAATATAACTAGTTGATAACATTAGCGGTTGTAGAAAAGTGTTTGGTAAATTAGTTGTTAGCTGTTTGGTATAATTTCTTTTATGAAAAAGTTGTTTGGGATAGTTTTTTGAATTTTAGCATTTTAGAGTTACAAAAAGCTAATTAACCAAACATTTATATTGATATTTTAACTAAATCAAATAATTAATAGTGGTCAAATAAGTCAAAGTTAGCCTATAAGATAATTTTTTATCAACCGGGGCCAAAACTAAAAATAATTAAAGGTTACTATCGTCCATATCTCAAACAAAGTCAGTCAAAAGTTTTTCTTCTTTAAAAATAATATTACAAATACAATAAGTGATAATAAGATTTTCTTGTAAAACAAGAAAACGAGTTGAAAGCAACCACAAGGGGTGTATTGCGACAACATGTCTCCGCATATAAATCCATAGGTCCCAGTGGCTGACTTAATTAAACCAATATTGAAAAAGTATACACCCCTTTCAAAACCATCCAACTTATAGTTGACTGTAATATACAACGTACCAAATTTGCTTTTGCATGCTTCCATTTGTGAGCATATAACCATTAATGTGTATCCAACTATCAGCTTAGGCTTTTAGTTGAGATGGAGCACATGCTTCAATTTGGTATCAGAGCCAGGTATTACGGTTTACCGGTCCACGTGTTGCTTGGAACCCACTGCACACGTGAGGGGGCGTGTGAGCATATAACCATTAATGTGTATCCAACTATCAGCTTAGGCTTTTAGTTGAGATGGAGCACATGCTTCAATTCCATTTACCTTCCTGTAAATTCCCTTTTTGTTTATTTATTTTTCAAAACGACAGCTTTATTACATTCATTTTATATTCGAAATGATTGACGATTAAATTTATATATATATATATATATATATATATATATATATATATTTTGTTAGATATGGTGTTTGAATTGAGTGATTATTGGTGTGTAATTAGGTTTACGTCAACAATATGCAAGTGCATATTTGTTTCACTGATGTGGCTCTAATGCTAAATAATACAAACACAACATTTAATTATATCATTAAAATTACAGAGTAACTCATAAATGTAAATTTGAATAAGTCTTAAATATTGGATCAAATTATCATCAGTAACGTAACATGTGTAGACCACATCAGTTAGGGTTGAACAATATAAAGTGGTTGGCTTACTCTATTGCAAAAAATTATAATAAATAATATAAAGAATTATAAGCACTACATAAATCAGTCTAAGTTACTCATAATTTTTTAAAACTTTAAAAAAAATAGAGTGAGTTCTAATTCTCATTTGGTAGTCTTGGAATGCAATATAGGCCCAATGGCCCAACAAATCATGTCATGGTTTGGGCAAAAAAAATTTTAAAAGCAATGTTCTGATTTTGCAATGGGCTCATACTCATAGTTTAGTGACAAATTCCATTTTAACGAAGAGTGTTTTTTCTTTTCTTTTTTTTTTTTTTGAAATAAAAAAACAATGAAGAGTGTTGTTAATTTTACTTTTTTACAATATTGATGGTGTCATGAGACTTGGGGGTCTATTTTATTAGGAAGGTTTTATTTCAATAAGGGGTCTTTTTGGGTTAAAGAGGTGAAGGAGGCATGACAACCCAAGACAATTGGGGGTGAAGGATGCATGGCGGCTCAAAGAGGTGGTAAGGAATTAAGGAAGGCATGTGGTCCAAAGAGGTGGTAAGGAAGGTATGGTGGCCCAAGGAGATGGTAAAGAAGGTGTGGTACCCGAAGGAGGTAGTAAGAAATGCATGGTGGCCTAAGGAAGTAGTAAAGAAGACCTAGTTGCCCAAGGCGATGGGAGGTGAAGAAGGCATGCATGGTCCAAGGCAATGGGGGTGATGGAGACATGGCTGTCCAAGGCGATGAGAGGTGAAGAAGACATGGTCCAAGGCAATGAGGGTGATGGAGACATGGCTACCCAAGGCAATGGGGTGAAGGAGGCATGGTGGCCTAAAGCAATGAGAAGGAAGGGGGGCAGGGGTGAAGGAAGCATGACAACCTAAAGGTGCGAGTAGGGAAGGCCTTGTCGGCCCAAGTGAGGAGAAGGAAGTACGGGTTACCGTCGTGGGGGGTAGAACTGTCTCTGATCGACTACTGGCTGGCTAGCAAGGGCCAAGTGCCCCCAACATCCCCACCCTGTCGAGGGGCATAGCGGAAGGTGTACGGCAGAGGAATGGGGCATAAAGAAGTAGAGAAATGGGGGTATGCATGGGCGTACAAAGGTGCGCATGGGCATATGCAGACACACGTACACAAGAGGCGAGGGGGAGAAGAGGGAGTGTGCTAGCGACATGGGGCATGAGCGTGCAGTGTTGCAAAAATCGCGCCTAGGCGCCGATTAATCGGCGTCTAGTCGCTAGGCGGTCGGCCTCCTAGGCGATCCCCAAGCGCCTAGAGGGCGCCTAGTGATTTTTTCAACATTTTGAGCGTGTGTTGTAAAAGGCAAGAGAGAAAAGAGATATGTGGATGGTGAGCAAGGGAATTAAGTAACTCAGATTCATACACTCGGCAAGACGTGGAAAGGTTTTCATCACTATAAAAAGCCACCCTTGTTTCTTAATTAGGACATCACTTGTCTATTTACTACGTCCCTCCTAAATCAAGTTTGTGGTCCTAACTCTCAAGCACAATGATTCGATTCTCCACCAGTACAATATTATTCCTGGCTTAATGACTTACTAAGTTACTAATAGAGCCACTATGTGTACGGCAATTGAGAGAGTTATGAACCGCTATTGGTGGGGAACTGGCAATAGTCAAGGAATACATTGGAAAGCATGGGACAAATTGTGTATCCCAAAGAAGCTTGGCGGACTGGGCTTCAAAGATCTGAGGGCGTTCAATTTGGCCATGTTAGGGAAACAAGCATGGCGCTTACTTACCAAGCCAGAATCTTTGGTTGCAACGGTTTATAAAGCCAGATATTACCCCAGGGATTCGTTTTATGAGGCAGAAGTGGGAAATAATCCTAGCTTTTGCTGGCGAAGCATTATGGCAGCAAAGAGCCTGATTTGTAGTGGTGTCAGGCGCAGGATTGGGAATGGTAACGACACATCAATATGGGCACATCCATGGATACAGGATGAACAGGAACCTATGATACAAACGGACATGCCTGTGCAATTAGCAGATGGGAAAGTTGTGGGGTTGATTGATCAGGATACTGGTACGTGGGATCACTCAATTCTCACTGATTTGTTCCAACCTATAGATGTGGAGAATATAGAGAAGATACCTATTTCCCCAGGATATGACGATTCATGGTATTGGCACGGGGACCCAAAAGGAACCTATTCGGTCAAGAATGGGTACAGACGCATTGTGGGAAATTATGAGCCTAATAATGGATCTTTTGATAAATGGCTCGCCCTGTGGAGCCTAAAATCCCACCCAAATGGAAAACTTTTCTATGGAGAGCAATTAGTGATATCCTCCCAACCACTGCAAATTTGATTATAAAGAGAGTGGAAGTGGACCCAATTTGTGCTATGTGTGGAAATGTTCAAGAGGATACTATGCATGCCTTAGTGTAGTGTGATTTTGCGAAAGCCATTTGGGAACGATCTAGCCTTCCAATCCCCAATATTGTGACGAATGTTTTTCATATTTGGTTCTCTGAGCTCCTAAATGTTCTAGACTCTAATAGAATGTTATATGCAACAGCAATCTTATATCATGTTTGGAGAGCACGGAATGGAGCGGTATGGGATGCCGTTATGCCACGGCCCACGAAACTCCTCGCCACGGTCACGGCAACCGTGGAAGCTTGGCGCAACACACGGCTGCCGCCCCAGCCCGTAGCACAGCTGCAACAACATACTCACACGATGGCACAACCCCACAACACGGCGACGCAACTACGCGGGATATGCCACGTGGATGCCGGCTACCTCCACGACTCCGGTGTGGCAACGGTGGGGGCGCTCTTACTCGATGCAGATGGCGGGTACGTGGCAGCATTCAGTGCCCCCCTTCCAACTTGTTTTTCACCACTCATGGCAGAGGCGCTTGCGTGCAAAGAAGCGTTATCATGGCTTAAAAACCGGGGTGAGACGTCAGTACATCTATACACAGATTGCCTATCGTTGCAACGATATCTTACTGCACCCTCATCTTCAGTTCGTTCGTATGTTGGTTATGCCCTTGATAGCTGTAGGTCTATTGCAGCTTCGTTTAATTCTTGTTCTTTTAATTTCATTCCTAGAACAGATAATTATTTAGCTCATGCGTTAGCATCTGCTGCGTTCCAGCAACCTACTATTTTGTATTGGGATCTATCCCCACCTGACATTATTGCAGCATTTTACTAATAGAAGCACCATGAAAATTTCAAAAAAAAAAAGTTACTAATAGAGCCTTAGTATTTTATTTTTTGAGCCATTATTTCAGGCATTGTGATTTAAACTCTTGGATTTAAAAAAAAAAAAAAAAAAAAAAAAAAAAAAAAAAAAACAACAACAACAACAATAATTGATGGAGAAAAATGCATTTACCTTATATATTTAGAATATAAACTTTATTAATTTATGAATTCTGATTGAACAAATTGCACTTTTGGTCCTGTGAGTATTAGGGTACTGACAATTTGAGTACGTGACTTTCAAAACTCCCAATTTAAACCTTTAACTATGCAATTATTGGCAGATTTGGTCCTCCGGGCCAAATTGCCGGCCAAATGTTGCCGGAAAAATGTAAAGATTTTTAAATTGTTTATTTATGGGGGCAAAATGGTCATTTCATATCACTTTCTTCTCCTCCCTTTTACCTCCTGGCCGGAATTGCACTTGCTGGACTATTCTGCTCAAATCCACCTTCGTGAACAACTTTTAATTAATCATCTTGAGATAAACTTTTAATTACATGCTATGATTTTTAATTAAACTTTTGCAGCGTTGTTCTAATCCTTCTTCTAGAAGCGTGTGGAAGAACCATGAACCAGGTTGACAATCTTGATGCCTTCGCAAGAATCCGACGAGGCGGCGGGTGATCTGGATCTAGGCCTGATGAATCGGTGACGCCCGTCGAAGGAATCGGAAACGTGGTGTCTCTCCCGGGCATGCCGCTCATGGGGGCCAATGATTTGCTTTTTTTTTTTTTTTTTTTTTTTTTTTTCTGCTACTTCAAATATGAGTCTTTGTGCGTTCAGTCTATTCTTGCCAATCAGTTCTTAAACATTGATCAAGTGGATTGGATCTTTGAGCAGAGTAGTCTAGAGGTCATGAGGCAAGTTTTGCAATTCCGGTCAGCAGGTGCAAATTTATAAACACAGCCATGCCCAAATCCATCCAACGGTGGTCGATCTGGATTTGATTCTCCGACGGCGGCTTCAATTGCAGGAGAGGAAATGGGTTCGAACAGAGCTTCTGATTTACCAAATTATTTCCTAATTTTCTAGTAGCTGAACAAAGAATGATACTAATTAATTAATTAATCTTGTATAATCCAAATTATTTCCGTCATTGCAAATAAATTAATGGATGCTTGGAGGTGGCAATTTTCGGCCATTGCTGCAAAGGAAGAAGAAGAAGGGCGAAGAAGAAGGAAGGGGAAGGAAGAAGAATACCGAAATGACTATTTTGTCCCCATTTATAACTAATTAAAAATGGTATATATATTTTTCCGGTGAAAATTGGCCGGTGATTTGGCCGATAGGACCAAATCTGCCAATAATTGCATAGTTAAAGGTTTAAATTGAGAATTTTAAAAGTCACGTACTCAAATTGTCAGTACCCTAATACTCACATGACCAAAAGTGCAATTTGTTCATTCTGATTACTTAAAGTAGCAAGGTTGAGGATGTGAGATAGACGTCAAAGACTGAGAGCTCAGACTCCTGAGAGACAGGGGAGTTTCTCTTTTCAAATCTCCAATTCGTTGTTTAATGGCAGGTTTGATATATCGGGCTGCCCAAATGTCAGTTTGCGGATATGGGTATACGCTCTTCATCTCTCAATTTCCACCACATAAGCAGCAGACCCAGAAGAGAGGAAAAGGGCAATCCTTTGGGCATAGACGTCTCTTCAATTTCTCTGCCATTTCTTCTACCAGCATTGAGACTCATAATTCGATTCCCGTTTCCGTGAAAGCGCTGGCGTCGATTGTTCTGAGTAGAAGGTTGCTGGGCATCTCCGTTTTAGCTGCTTCGCTTCTACCCAGCTGCTCTGAAGCCATTGAAGGAGGAGGAGGAAGAGAGGAGTTGGAGCTCGAAAGGTACACCGACCCAAAAGATGGTTTCACTTTTCTCAGACCCTCTTCTTGGATTAAGGTTTATATCTTCTGTACTTACTTGGATTTTTGGTTCTGGTTGCAAGTGATGTTTGAGATTGTAAAATAATCTGACTTGATAGATGTGTGAGTTTGGTAGGTTGATAAAGCTGGAGCTACTGTTCTCTTTGAGGATTCGAGCAAGGGATCCAACAATGTTGGGGTTGTGGTGAGCCCTGTGAAGATCACCGGCCTAAGTCAATTTGGAACTCCTCAGTTTGTGGCAGAAAAACTCATCCAGGCCGAACGCCGAAAGGTTGGTTCCTTCTTTCTGATTTGGTTGTGGTTAATTTGTGTGATCTTTTATCTAACAAGCTCTTTAGGCTGTTAACTTGTACAAATAAGGAGTGGTTTCATATGATATAACTGCCATTCATCATAACAGTTAGAGAATGCAGATGATTTGGTAGTAAAAAGCAGGGATGATATGGTTGTAAAGAAGCTTAAATCTAGATATGAATGGTTAATTCATTTTCAACATGTGTTTAAGTGAGTGTGTCAAATGTTCACTTGTGTGCTCAATGCTCACCTTCTCTAGAACTAGTCTTTGACTCTTTGGCCTGTTTGGTAACATAGTTAGCTTATCAGTCAATTTTGGCTTATTTGACCATTATTAGTTGTTTGACTTGGTTAAACAATCATATGAGTGTTTGATTAATTAGCTTTTTGTAACAACTTATTGCTCTAAAATACTAAAATTCAAAAAGTTGTTCAAAGTAGCTTTTTCGATCAGCTTTTTCAGAAAGTCATTTTGCATGTAATCAGCTATCATCTAAGAGCTAATTTACCAAACATTTTTCTACAATCAGCTAATGTTATCAGAAAATAAGATCTATTGAATGTGTGGAAACAATTTTGCAATAGCATTGATCAACGAGGTTGTATGCTGCCATTTTAAGTTGCCTTGAGCGATCTCCTCCACATCTCTGTGCTCCATCTTTTTTATCTGCAGCTAAATCTTGATTTGTGCTTTAGTGTCGCTTAATTTATGCCATTCTCCACCAGGAAAGCACCGTAGGTGCTGAATTGGTTGCAGTATCTGAGAGGTTAGGGAAGGGAGGCATTGAAGTTTACGAGTTTGAGTACAAAGTGGATAGCTCCAGGGGGGGAATGAAGAGGGTGTTTTCTGCTGCTTTTGTGTTATCTAAGAAGCTGTATCTTTTGAATATTACTCACTCTGATGGATTAGAAAATCCACTGGACCCAGATACGCGAAAAGTCTTGGAAGAGGTTCTTCATTCCTTTGACGTTGATCAACATCAATATGCATTCTTTTGCTCCCCTGATTCATCCTGTCTTCCTCTGGTTGTATAGGTTTGTATACCTCTGTATTGCCCTTATCAATAATTTACTATGGCGTAACATAACTACGAAGTAAATGACTCACCCATTCTCTTGTTTTCAGGTAAGAATTTCTTGTGCCAATAAACAAAGTACAAAATTGCTGGCAATGGCCCTCTGGCACGGAGGTTCACTATATCTGTTTACTGCATTCCATTGATTTATAGGACATGTGGAATTACCTCAACCCAAACCCATTTAGAAACTTTTGTTTTTCAAGAGCAACCCTTTACCAATCCTTGAGATTGCATCTATTTACTTGCTGTTTTGATGCTATTTTTGGGGGTGGGGTGACAAGAGAAACCTGCAGCCACTACCTGAGGGTATGTACTAGGGTAAACTCGTCTTGTGACCCTAGCCGGCAAAAGACCACAAAGAGGGTGTTCTGATGCCTTTTTTGTTTTCAACATAATGCTGTTACTCTCTTGTATTTTAGCATTTTATGGTGAATAAGAAACATAATGATGTTATGATGTAATTACAGTAGTGTAAGGTGTTGGGAAAGATAATGAGGGTTTCTTGCTTCAATTTCAGATTAGGATGAAAAACATTTCAGTTACAAAAATGCTGTTTGTATTTACATCAAATTTCCAATCCATGAAGCCTGCCATATGATGTACATGAATCTTTGCTTGATCACCAAGAAGATATCTGATGCCTTTTACAATTTGGTTGTGTCGAAAAAATATGAAGAAAAAAGAATTTTACAAGAAGATGGGCACTGATTCTACATCGCCCTCCGCTGCACTGATGCAATCATAGGACCTCTTTCTCAAGTTTGAGAACTGCCATAAATGCTTCCTGAGGTACATCAACTTTACCAATTGACTTCATTCTTTTCTTCCCCTCGGCCTGTTAGTGATAGCAATGTCAAGCATGATTCAGAGATTATAAAATAAAAAATGAAACCCTCATTATGAGATTGGGTAGGAATGTAGGATCATACTCCATGGGTCTAAAAGTAATGTGTGCAGTAAAATTTCAAAGGTTTAAAGCTTTGAAATATGAATGTATGTAAAATAGCTTGGAATGATGTCTTCCATGTTATTTTACTTTGAAGACAACATGATATCACTATTCAAAAAGAAATCTTTGAACTTCAAAAAGAAAGGAGACATAAAAACGAAGGGAGTGTTCTTGTTCTGCATTATATTTGAGATTTCTTTAGCAGCTAATTTGCCACCTATTAGTAGTTGTAATAAGGTTGGTATGGTTTAAACTTAATGAGAGAGAAAATATGTCAAAAAGTAAATTAACAGCAAAAAGCAAAAGAAATTACCTGTTTCTTAAGCAACTTCTTTTTTCTTGAAATGTCACCACCTAGAAAAACAAATAAACCATAAGCATTTAGAATCTTAGAAATGAGTGCAAAGCATAGAGTATTGTTGAATTACAATGTAAAATTACCCATAGATTATAGATTATTCATACATACTATCTAGCAAGTTCCTGATAAAACTAAGGATAATAAGTATTGAAGAAAGAGAATTCTAAAAGATGTCAAATATCTCATGCAAAATTGGAAATCACACAAAAATGCTATTAACTAATTTTAGTCATATAATGCCAAAGAAACTCATTTCTTTTGAGGAAAATTGATCTTTATGAAGCATCTTTCAAATGCTCCAAGGAATGTTCCTATAAACTATTTTACCATAGCACTTGGCAAGAACATCCTTCCTGATAGCAGACAAAGCCTCACTGGCAATGACTTTGGAGCCTATGCATGCCTGCCATGAAATACCGAAGAACATGGTGAATTACTAGATCGTAAGCAAAAAGATGAAAAGATACAACATGGACAAGATTTTTAATGCACAAAATAAAACCTTTCCACATAGTGTAGCATTTCAGTAGGAACCATGACTCAGGTACCATTAGCATGTATGGCTAATTGGCTATGCCTTCAATACAGGCACACTAAACTTTTAGAAAGTTCTGACTCATTCTAGAGGATCCCTACGTAAAGTTCCCAAGAAAATGAAAGTGCTGATAAAAGTAGATAGCTTCAATTATATGATAGCACAGGCTCGGTGTCTTTATTTGGCAAGCTGGGAATCTTAGCCTTAATAATGGCTGGCTTAATTGCTACATTTATGACTAGATTAAATTGAGAACCTAAGATTTATCTTGGCAGTATATAAGTGGGTTGAGATGAGCACCTTATATCACCCAATTACCATGTCTTTCTGCTGGTCGGGAGTAAGTTTCTTGGATCTTTTATCCTAATTTAGTAGTAACATTTTCACAATAACCTAGAGACAGGAATCTCACATTCACCCCGATAACTGTATAAGAATTGCACAGGACCTATTCATTCTAGATTGATCACAAAAAAGACTATGCTTGTTTCATGAAGTTCCTGGGCATAATTTATTTTGTCAGGAGTTGCTTCCTTTGACACATATAAGCATGATAGATGGCCTACATGATTTTGCCTTACACCGAAGGAAAGCAGCAAATTTTAGTAAAGGCAATGCAAAGTCAAATTTCCACTCTTGTTCCACAAGCAAATGAAAAAGGTCAAGTGCTGTTTTTACCTGGATTGGAACTTTAAACATTTGTCTAGGTATTAGTTCTTTCAGCTTTTGAGTCAAGGCCCTTCCCACTCCATATGCCTGAAATGTAGAAGGAATATATTTGCAGCAATCAATAGGTAACCATTAAGCTAAAGTCTCAGAATATATTTTCAGCTTTTGTACCTTGTCCTTGTGCACAATAGTTGACAAAGGTTCCACAGGGTCACCATTAATAAGAATATCAAGCTTTATCAAATCACTTTCTTTGTATCTGGCAATAAGAACGAAGAAAAAAAAAAGAGAATGAAGTCTGAATTGGTATCAAAAGCACTCTTCATACTGACTAAAGGGTTTAGTCATAGAAACAATCTTAGAAAACGGAGGTAAGATTGGGTAATGTTTTTTCCCCAATACTGTGCAAATCATAGGCATTTATCTTTTATGTAGTTATAGTCATAAAGAAGTCAGTTGTACTCCATACTTTATTAAAGCCAATACCTTACAAAGAATAACCTTACTTTGCAACAGAAAAAAAGCATCAAGAGAATAAATCATAATAACAGATGAACTCACCCAATAAAATTGTACTCCATGCTAGCATAACCTTTGCTTCTTGATTTCAGTTGATCAAAGAAATCACCAACCATCTATAAAAGAAATTGATACGCTATAGCTGTATGTACTGAAGAAAAAAGCAGTTTGAAGTCGGATTTGGTTTTTTTCTTTTCTTTTTTCTTTGGTGTGTGTGTTTGGGCTGGGGGGGGGGGGGGGGGGGGAGGGGGGCTTATTTACCACTGAAAACTTTAGAAAACACAACAGGCTGACTAACCCCATTGGAATACCTCAGCAAGTGGCAATTCATATATAATTGAAGCTCTATTTTCAGCAATAAATTTCATTTCTTTGAACTCTCCTCTTCTGTCTTGAGCAAGCTCCATTAGTGCACCAATGTATTCTTTTGGAGTGAGCATCTCAATCTATAGTGGAGAAGATGACTAAGGCATTTTGGTTAAGTCACAAGAGAGATTGCATGATTACAAATTTTACAAACTGAATGAGCAACCTTGACATATGGTTCCTCAATTGACTTTCTTTTTCCAGGTTCTGGGAGCAAAGATGGATTTGAACACTCAACCTAAGATAAGATATGATAAGATTGCATGTTAAATAAGACACGGCATAGAAATGAAGTACTTCATGACATTTTGAGAATTGTAACAAAAAGTCTATGCAGATCCAGAAGTTGCAAAACAAACAACAGGATAATATGAAGCAAACTCCCCACCATGACACTCAACTCAAGGTAATTAGTGCCAAAGACCTTATAGTTCGGTGGTATAATTTTGTGACTCTAGGGAAGTCTAAAATTAAATCTCCATTTCCCTCGCACGTGGCCAAAAAATGTTAGTATTTGAAACTCTTAAGCAATTAGAAATCCAGTAATCAGCATTACAATAAGTGTCACTTTTTTACACTATTATTTTTTTCTTCAGTCTCCTTAGCATGAGATGTAACATAGTCTTTCCGCTTTCCGGTTGGATCTAATAAACAAAACCTTTAAACTATACAGTTTAAAGCATTAAAAAAAAAAAAAAAAAAAAAAAAAAAAAAAAAAAAAAAAAAAAAAAAAGATCTTTTTAACTATGTCAGCTGGACTTGATTGTGTACAAACTGGCAAGAACTTCCACAATGGGTGAAAATTAATCTCATGTCCTTTCTTGAAGAACTTATCATATTTTTGTTTAATTTCTATCAAGCCTAATAATTTTGTTTTAGGAGACTGTTTAAGTGATTGGGAGATTCACATATTCATTCTGAAAATTCATATCTACAGCTAGTGCTGTACTGCTGAAAAACATTCTTTACTATGTCTACTGCTATTCTATAATAGTCAGGAGGATGCAAAATAACTCAAACTAAAAAGCTTTCAGGATAAGCAGATATTACAGTATCACCAGTTAGACAGTTGACTTGGTAAACAACACTTGGTGCAGTAGTTATTAGTGACAAGTTGTACTCACGCTCAAGCCTTTCCTGTGACAAAGTATATCATAGGCAGTGTTACAACATAAGATATTAGGTAAAACACAATATCATCACCAACATTATAGATGGCAGTGTTCTCACCTGAACAATTTCCATGTGAAGAAGACCCAAAAATCCACATCTAAAGCCAAAACCCATGGCACTAGAGCTCTCAGGCTCAAACTGTTACACAGGGTATAGATGAAGAAATCCTTATCAATAATGTATTTTAAGAAAATGTAGACTATTGTCTGCAACATTTATTAATAATGTCAGCTCTATATTTACCTTCAATGCAGCATCATTGAGCTGCAATTTCTCTAATGCATCACGCAGTTCAGCAAACCTGTAGTAGTATAAGATCACGAAAAGCAATAATAGTGCCAACCCAACACCATTACTTAATTTGGATCATTTAACTGTATTAAAGAAAAAAGAGCAAGAGCAGAAAATACTGGTCTGCATCAACAGGAAACAAGCCACAGAACACCATTGGCGTAGCCTCCTTGTATCCAGGCAGAGATTGTTCTGCACTTCTACCGTAGTGTGTAATGGTGTCACCCACCCTTGCATCTGCCACAGATCTTATTGAAGCAGAGACGTAACCCACCTGGATTTTAGCTATTTAAGTACATTACTAGTAACATGGGGAAGAAAAGTCCACACAACACCTACAACAAATTTTGAGGCAATCCTACCTCTCCAGCATAAAGCTCCTTTACTTGCATCTGATTGGGAGATAAAACTCCTATTTCATCAACAATATAATCCTGCATTTTACAGATACACAGAGAAGAATCAGCACCAAGAATTTCAAGAATAAATTTGCTAGAAATTAGAAAATGATAAAATAGAAAACAAAATTTTCAAATAGTCTATCATCACTAATCGCTTGAGGTAACTAGTTTGATTTCATCATTTGAGTTAAAGTATATAAAAATTGCAACTACATCAATACATGAGGATATTATTTCCTGTGAATATACTAATTTACAATCAAGATAATATATGAAGCCCGATGCACTCTACCTTCCCA